GGCCGGAGTGTACAACGGCCGAAACGGTGTGATAGATATAGCGAAAAAGATGAGGACAATAGTCCGAATAATGTAAATAAAGAATTTTTTGTAATCAAATCTGAAATCCAGTTCAGACTGTTTTGCCTTTTTCCTCAACTTTCTTTTATTTATTCTAATTATGAGTTAATGTCCTGGATGGGTCTGTTGCATTCACTTCAAACTGATGCCTTTGGGAAAGACATGAATCTATCCCTTCTATAGGCAAAATAAAAGGATAGACTAGTCTCTTTAGATTTGGTTGGTAAGAGAAGGACAAAACCAAGTGTATAATTAACTCCTACCCCAAATAGGTAAAAAAAATAAAATGGGCTCCTAGGCCCTAGTACAAAAGGCTCTCCTTGCCAACTTGCAGGCCAATTAATGCAAGTACTACCTGGAGTCAAAACTTTTATGTCGTTGAGATTGAATGGGAGAAGGTTTCTTGCTTTCATAGTGAGAAGAACACTATGAATTTGCAATGCGCCTTATAGGGGAAATAATTTATTTTTACTTCTTTTCAATAATGCTAATTAAATTCTAAAACCTTGGGTTTCATCAACTTCTGAATTCACATTGAGTTGTAATCAATGTCATCTCAAGTAAAGGCCCAACAAACATTTAGCTTGTGTCTCAGACTGGAGGGAGTAATTATGTTAGGCATAAATAAAATATTTTTGGCAAGAGATTTGTTTGTGATATCCAATAATTAGCTAATTAACAACATTACCTATTACAAGGAATCAATTATTTCTTATCAGCAAAGCATAAAAATACATTAGAAAAGAAAGAATAATCATAATTTTGATAATATTTGAAAGTTTTTATTCCATGATATTTTAATCATATTTTTAGTTTTATCTTTCACTTGCATTACTTGCCTTTTATATTAACCTAAGAACTTGAGACATTTTCCTAATAGTTCTAGACTTTCACATGGATGTCGTACATAGCATTCAATTCATCAGAAATGTCTAAATATTTACAATCGTTTTCTCAGATCAATGATTAAAAATGATTTCGAGCAAATGAATTCTCAAGGTCTTAAAAAGACAATCTTTTATCAAAATCTATAGACTGGTGCTACCAAAAGAAAATTTATCTGTATAAATCAAAGTAATTTAAGATTCTACAAAAATATTTATCAGCAAAGCATAAAAAGACTCCAAGAAACAGTAATTTTGATAATATTCAAAAGTTTTATTCCACAATTCTTTTAATCATATTTATAGTCTTAATTTTCAAAAATATTTTCTTTTGATTTCATAGCATATAATGAAAAATACTTATGCTGAAATTTGAAGACATGTTTAAAACTTTAAGAGCCAGTTTGTTGTCTTGGAATCTCAAACTTTAAGAAAACATTTGACAATATAATTTCCTGTCTGCTTTTCATAATGAAATAAAACATCTTAGAAACTAACAAAGGTATTAAGTAACTGATTTTTGCAATTCTTTCATTTCACAACACTAAACATCATAAAACAAATGTGACATCCAATGAAATTTTTAAAACTTTACAGTGTATTTTCTTAAAAAGAAAACTTCATATTTTGGCAATAAAATGATGTCTGATTAAATATTGTCTGATCTCTGGGGCAGTCTTTTTGTGTAACATAATTTACTACATAAACCAAAAAGACATTTTAATACCTTTTAGCTTTGGTAACTGATCAATTGCATTTCGGGCAACAAATATCCACATTTTGAGTGACTGTCTTGGATCAAAGTTAATATTCTTTGGTATCAACTTTCAATTAAAGAAATATAGTTTTTTTTTTTTTTTATATGGAATTTCTCAATAACATTATGTAGCATAATAAAATGTGTATTACAAGGACCTTATCTTAACTTATCAAATTCAGTTTCAAGATAGTCTATTGTAAATTCTTCAAATATAACAAAATTTAACTCATTGTTAAGTAAATATCTTCAAAGATCAATGAAATCATTTAATGTATGCCAAGGGGATATCTGCAGCACTGGATATTGCTAAATTACATGTTAGAATATTTCATCCACTTAGGAGAAGCAAAATACAACAGATGGTTGAAAAACAAAATGACAATGTCATTAAAAGGTAGAAAGATTAGAGAAAAATAAGATGAATTTTTGTGACTAAATTCTTGACATTTGTCATTACCATAAACATAAAATGGCATAGATGGCAAAATGAAAGAGAATTGGCATCTTCAAATGAACTTACTCAAGACAACCAAGTATAAGTGTAAAAAAAAAAAAAAAATCAATATTAAAATTTCTTTTCAAAATAAATAAAACTGTCAATCAAGTAAATATCAACCTCCAATCAGACATGAGGGACATAGTTGCAAGCTCTTTTACTTGATATCTCAGTTGTAATATGTTAACTTTTGTTTTTCTCTTTCATGAAATCTGTAATTTACTCAATGTATGAGTAAATTACTGAAAAGGTGTGCAGTTTTCTTTTTACCCTATTGTGTGGATATTTCAAATAATACTTTTTGCTTACCATCTGCCATTCTGTTTTCTTCAAAAGCTAAAAGCAGCTGTTGGCTTTCTAATTTTTCCTCTTAAATTTTGTTACCTAAATTTGCCTTCTAACAAAAAAAAAAATAAATCTTTATGTAGGCTTTTTTGCTTAAATGTTATATTCCTTTTCAAATAACTTCATCTATTTCTGTCCTGGAAAAATCATCAAGACTTGCATTTTTTTTTTTTTTTTTCTGCATTACTAAAAGACTGAAAATCTTGCTCAAAAAACTCAAGTTAGTCTACTGGTTCGATTGTTGAGGAATTTGGAGTGAATGAAGTAACATGTCAAAAAAACAAAAAACCTCTGTATTTCTTGGTGACAGTTGATTTGAATATTCATTGAATTTATTTATTTTGAAATGTTTTTTTTTAACAAACCTGATTTCCTTTCTTTTTTTTTCTGTTTTTATTATGGATTTTATTTTTACAATCCTCAGAACAAGAGACTGTCTCTCTATTTTTGTACAATTCTTGAGTTTCACTTTGGAGTTAGGCTTGAGCATTCACTCCATTTTCACTGGTCACTGTCACATGTAATGCACAAATATTTTCATATATTCATGGTGACATTAACAGCAGACAACTGTTTAAGTCAATTCAACAAATCATCAAATAGATTATGTGGTATTATTCAGTAATCAGTACATAGTTATGGTTTTAGTTGAAAGGATTATCATCACAATATTAAACTTTGTTATACAGGAAGAATCTTCCAGATTTGTATAAAAATCTGAGATGCACAAATGAAGCTTTAATTTTTTTTTTTAAACAATGGTTAAAATTTTATAAATTCAGCTTCATATTATTCTTAGCAGATTATGAATTTGAATGGTTGCCATTTTGTTTTCAAAATAGGAGTTTTTGTTTCTTGGTTAAATGCCTATCGTTCAATCATTTCAATTTTCTAATCAAAGCATATTGAGGTGCATCATGAGAAATGATAATTAAAAATATACTTTCATTTAAAAGGAAATGTAATTATTTCCCAAAGTTGTATTAGAAAGGAGTAATTAAAAAAAGACATTGAATGAAAGTAGGATATTGGATTTTCTTGTGTATAAGAGAAATTTTGAATGAAAATTAAAAGCATAAAAAGGTGGGATTGTATGTTTTCAGAAATTTTTACTTAGCTTAAAAAAAAAAAACCTTATTTGAAACGGTAAGATTGTAAAAATACCCAGTGAGCGCAATGGATAATAAAATACAAAGTAGGCAGGACTTGATAATTGATTACAAAAGGTATTTGATATGACGACCATATTTGTTTCTCTCTTTATATAAAGATATTATTTTTATTTTCATAGTTATATATAATTGTCATATTAAGCAGAAAAGTATGATAGGTTAATCCACACCTTAAAATGTATTACTGAGTATATTTAGTTGGCACTTATCTGAAAATAAGTTTTGAAATGGAAATTGGGAGAAGAAACATTCAATAGTTAAACATCTAGTTGATTTTTATTCTTTAATAGCATGAAAATTAAAAATTTTAGTGAAATATAATTATGACATTCAAATTTTAATGGATAATAATATACAACTTTCAAAAAAAAAATATAATGATGGCTGTGTTATGGGTTTGTATTATATTGAAGGATGTAATTTACTCTGTTTTTAATTTCATAGACATGGGGGTCGTATTATACACAAGAAAATATGGTAAGCCTGACCCTAACATATGAAAAAATGAGATTAATATATACAACAAAAGAGTGGTTAATTAACCAATTTAAAATTGTTGATTGTATAGATACAATGAGACAATAAAATACCTAATTGAGAAAGGATTTTCTTTTTGGATATCTGCAGTCTACTTAAATCTTTCAAAAGCTTTTCATTATTTTTTCTCTCTTTTTCTCTTAACAGATTTTTTTTTATGTAGATATCTTGTTTTTGCTTTCCTTTTTTCAGCAAACTTCTTCCAGAAATTAAACTATATAATAATTATACTATTATTTTAAATAAGCATCAAATCATTTGTTTTGTTTTTCCTGTTTTTTTATTTTTTAAATCTTTATTGAAGGTTAAACTTTCAACACTTCTGACTGAATAGATAATTATTTTATTTCTCTAACTAAAAACCTGGTTTATGATTTTTAATCCATATAAATGTTTTTTTGAGAAAAAAACAGGTAAGATCAATTTTGAAGGTTAATCATGATTAACTGTATAAGTTTTTAAAAGTAAGTTTTACTGTTTAGCAAATATTGTTCTTTTTGAATTTCATTTTACTATGAATTGATTTTTCTCCTATGAATTTGTTTCACGGATCCTTTGATTTTCTTTGCTTTTTGCTCATTTGGGAACTTTGTATTGTCAAAAAATTTGTACCACATGACATTTATTGACAAAACAATCTGATGAAATTTCCTTTTGTTGAAAACTTTGATTATAATCTGTTCTAATATAACACAATATAATTTTCTTTTGATTAATGCCATTCTTGATCTATTTCTCCTTTGCAGACGAAATGCTAACAGGCAGCGAGCATATGAACAACTGGAACGTCTCAAGGACCAATTGTTATTGCAACAATTTGTTCAGGAATGTGAAGAGGTAAGTAGCATTAATATATAATTATTATTCACTTTTCAAATCCTTCATAATTAAACATCTTATTTTGGTGCGTGTGTGATAACCCCCCAAAGAGAGAGAGGCATCACATTTACTGCAGCTGTATCAGCAGTTATGTGTCTAGGGAAAGATACCCTGACTGAACACATCCCTATTCAGTTTTCTTTCTCACAGGCAAGGGAGCCTAGTTTGTATTGCTATTTAACCCATAGATAGAGGAAGATGGATTTATGCCTTTTTTCCAAGAGCATTAATATGAAGTGAATGAAACAGAATTGAACAGAAATTTTACTTGGCATGCCTAATTCACTTTCTGTGGTGATATCCATTACTCTACCCACACTGCCATTATTTTAATGTAATATTTTATAAATACTTTTTGTTTAAGGACATTAGCTATCCTTATCTGAAAGCAAATTGATTTGTGTTATTAGAAACCAATGCTCTTATGAGCCCTGTTAACTCCCCCCCCACCACATTAACTTCTTATTGATATTAGTGATTTGCCAAAGTAGAATAATGAATAAATTAATTTTTCATATCAACTAATGTAATCTGAGAATATAAATTTATGAAAAACCTGCGATGAATTCAGTTAGTGCTACTTTTGACTTTTTCATTTGTCTTTATATAATTTGGATTATGCACAAGTACTTGTTTTAAATGTCACACAAAACTTTTTTTGCTTCACTTTTTGTTTATTCATTTTGCAGTTGCGTGATTGGCTCCAAGATAAAATGGCTGCTGCTCAAGATGAAACCTACAGGGATGCTAAGAATCTCCACAGCAAATACATGCGACATCAAGCATTTGAATCTGAAATTGCAGCCAATAAAGACCGCTTACTTAGGCTTCACCAGGTAGGAAACTGATTCACTTTCCCTTTTGGCTTTTACTCTGCAATGTCATCTGTCCTAAGATCCCTAGTTGTTGTTGCTTGAAATTGCAAAACAAACAAAAAAAACAAACAATTAGTATCAAGTACTGACAAAGGTTGCAAGACCAACTGAAAATTTTGTGACTTTGCAAAAACTTTGTGCTCCCACACGTCAAATTCTTTGGTTGAAAAATCAAGTTTTGGTTGCTGCAGTGAAAAGGAGGAATAACAATGATCATTGATGAGTTTTGGTGTTCTGTTCCTTTCATAGAACCAAACTGCAGAATGTCATTACTTTATAGACAATGACACATACCCAATTGTCACTTGTATCCCTTCGGCCATTCTTTTGGGTCATAAAAATGTTTGATTTTTCTTTTACTCTAAAAATTAACAGAATTTATACTTGCATAGATAGACTTATCCTGTGTAGCTAACAATTTTTATGCATGTGTACATTTCTCTTGAAATTTAGAAAAGAAAAAAAATGTAATTAAACAAATACTGATTAGTGTTTGTTTTTTCTGTTTTTATATGAAATCAATTCTGTAATTAAAATAATGATATAACTTTTCTTGGTACATTGACTCTTGATTTTTCTGTTGATTCAATAATCTTAAAAAGTATTTTGAGAATTTAAGTTGAAACTTTGCAAAAATTTGACATTAGTGGTAGATCATAATTAATTTCTGATGTTCACATCTAGTGATTGGTAACTAAACTGGCTACTACCCCCCCGTCAGACCCTGGTGAGGAGGGTAAGTGGAACCCCAACCGCATAAGCTTTTAAAGGGCGGATGAACTCCTCAGAATCAATGACCATCCACTCCAACTATTTAACCTGTAGCCTCAGTAACCTGCAATTGGGCAAGTGTTGTGAATACAGCTATACCTCTGAAGACGTGGTCAGTCAGGGAGGAGTTCCTCTAACAGGAGTGAAAAGGCCATGGATTTGATTCGTCTAAACTAGGGGTGGGGTTTGGTTTTTCAGTGGGAGATCTTTTTCTTTATTTTCTGTTTTTTATTATTTACAGAATTTTGTTTATTGAATTCCATTCTATTGAAGCTTTTGTTTATTGAAGTATGCTTCAGTTTATTTATTTAATAATTAGTTATGAATTAAAACCAATTATTGCACATGTATTCAAGTTAAAAATCAACCAACATTTTCTGTTGCTATTAAATTTTTAAAATTCCTCTATAAAAATAATCCATGCAACTATATATGTACTAATATGGGAAAGAATGAAGATTTTTCAATAATATATTCATATTATTTGAATGCATCTTTTGAGTTACAGTCTTGTAAAGTGGGGGATAATATTCTGTCATATGATGAAAAAGGTGGGTGCATGGGGTAAAAAAAGGGTTGGGAACCACTGATTTCAACCTATTTCAGTCAATTGCATTTTCCTTGTATTTTCAATTTTCCAATGACATATAATTTATTTTAGTGGAGGGGTGGGAATAGGGGGTTAATAATAAACATAAACTGTAATTTCTTGATTATTGTTTTTTTATCTTTGTTCTCAGCAATTATATTTTAAATTGAATTCTCCAGTAAAGGAAGACTTTGTTTTTAAATGTTCATTTTTTTTTTTTTTTTTTTTTTTTTTTATCCTCTCAGGCTGGCGAAGGCTTATTGAAAGACAAACCTGAAGCTGCTGAACAGATTGGACCGGTCCTTGAAGGACTCAGCACTCAATGGGAAGAATTGGAGAACACAACCAAGGACAAAGGCGAACGTCTGTTTGATGCCAACCGTTCTGTACTCTATGAACAGAGCTGTGATGATATTGATGGATGGATCAACCAACTTGAGTCACAAGTCATCACTGAAGACTTTGGCAAGGATTTGACAACTGTTAACCTTAACATGCAGAAGCAAAATGTTAGTCTGCATTTCTCATTCTTCCATAACTAGATTTATTTTTTATAAATTAGCTGCTTTGAATTCTCTTGAAAAATCTATTTGTCTTTTAAAATATTTAAAAAATTTGAAGATGTCATAATAATGTACTGGCAAAAATCTCTTGACTATGTGACTTTAATAATGTTATGTTTAGTAATATCTATTAAATTCAGTCGTAGCAAAATGACAACCAAACAGGTTCTTCTGTGTGCGATGTCTGTTCATGTCATTGTCGATAATGGCTCTCCATAATTCCCTGTCCTTTGTAGCTCTTAATAAATTTTGTTGTTTTATCTCCTTTAAAACCTGCTCCGCTATAACAAAAAAAAAATTCAAATGGAGTTTTGAGATTGCACATCAAAGATTGGAAAATGAGTTCTGATTTTATTGTAGTGTATCTGTCAGCATACTGCATACAGTCATTAGCTCCAAATCTGTTGTGCAAAATTTAGTTGTATGCAACGATTCTATAAAAGGAAATGTGCACTTAATTGTATAGAAACACAAATTAACCTATGACACTGTATATGCTAAAAATGAACTTATAAATAAAATAAGACCATCTCCATTCTTTTATTTATGATAAATTTTGATATCAGTATTTTAGTTTACATATTGTAAACCTCCAATGGAGTGGTGGTGGTGGTGGGGAGCTATCTTTCACTGATCAGACAAGTCAATCCCCACATTGTTTCGTCTCTTGGTTGTGCTACTGTGTGCAAGGACTGGAAAAAAACTTGAAGTACATTCCCAAGAAATGGAAACTGAAATCAACATTAACAAATGAAGACACAATTTTTGAATAATTTGGTGTTTATTTCAATTAGGTTCCCTGGTTGGAACTAGTATTCTCTCTGTAGTTAGTAGGTGGCACATAGGTCTCTTTGATTCTTCTTACTTCAGCCAAGTGACTTGTACCAATGTGACTCCTCCCTTTGTCTAGCCATAACCATAGATTCTATTTATAGGGCTGCAAACAGAAACATCTGGTTTCCAATGAATTGCCACTTGATCCCTTTTTTCATCTATTTCTTTATTTACTTTTCACTCGAGTAGATAGTCTTTGAAGTCTAGGGGTCTAAATGACAATCTTAGAAAGAAAACTCACTTTTAATTCTGACATCAGTTAGGGCCCACTTGATTTTGTGTGTTCAGCTGGTTGTATGGAGGAACTGTTGTGCCACAATATATAAAAAGGAAAAAAAAATACAAGGTAAATTTTTTAAAGTTAATTTGGTATGGTGTGGTTTTATTTATTATTTTGTTATTCTCTACAGCAACTGGAATCTCAGATGAAACTGAAGGCAGACCAAGTCAGTGAACTAGGAAGCCAAGCTACTCACTTGAAACGTTTGGATCCCAATAAGGGTGCTGAAATTGAGGCCCGTAAAGCTGCTGTTGCTGAACGGTCAGTGACATTCTTCTGCTTTTCTTAGATGAAATATTTTATTTTATAAAGCTTCACTATTCCATTTATGAATCTTCAAGTAGGATTATTTACATACGAACTGTATGTCCTAATCTTTGTTGTTGATATCACAACGTTTTGGCTAGTGTACCTTCTGGCCTTCAGTATAATGTTCAACCTTAAGCAGCAAATACTCTGTTATAGAACTTATGAAGTCAAGAATCTTTAATCTCTTCACTCTGCATCTCTCTTACACACACAAAATGGAATAATTTTAAAAACTATATCTGTCTTTTTTTTTTTTTTTTTTTATTTTATCATCCCTCCCAGTCACCATTTCCAATATATCAGAACTGTGTTGATCTGTATTTGTGCAAAAGAAGTAATTGGAATTGTTTTCCTCACCTATTTGTTTTCAGGTTCTCGAGAATTCAGGAGCCTTTGTTGAAGAGGCGTGCTCAACTGGAAAAAGTGAAACGGATCCACCAGTTTCAACGTGACATTGAGGATGAGAAGATGTGGATTGAAGAGAAGATGCCTTTAGCCACGTCTAATAATTATGGAAACAGCCTCCTTAGTGTACAACTGCTCATGAAAAAGACTCATGTAAGCCATTCTTCTTGTCTCTCTGCAGAAACTTCATCTGATTTCTATGATTGATCATGCCAGGTTATGCATTCACTTCCAGAAAACTCTAACTAAAGTATTCTCGGTATAATTGCAATATAAACCAGTTATTGTATTACTGTTAATATTGTGAAAAAATTAAAGTATACATAAACTATTTTTTTTTTTTTTTTTTAACTTTACATTTTGTAAAGATAATTTAAAAAAATATTTTACTCAATGTCAACATGTCTAATTTTCTTCTATTTTCTTATGTGCACAGTCCTTGCAAACTGAGATTGAAAATCACGAACCACGCATTAACAGCGTCATTGCTGTTGGTCGCGATTTGATTGATGAACAACATCCCCAGTCTGATGAGTTTGAGGTTCTCATTAATGACCTTAGCAGCAAATGGAAGGTCCTCAATGACTCTGTGGAGGCCAGAAAAGACCGCCTTCTGCTCTCAGACACTGCCCAACAAGTAAGTAAATGATTTTCGCTTTTTTCCTCTCTATCTCTCCTTTTTTTTTTCCTCTCTCTCTCTCCTTTTTTTTTTCCTCTCTCTCTCTCCTTTTTTTTTCCTCTCTCTATCTCTCCTTTTTTTTCCTCTCTCTATCTCTCCTTTTTTTTTTCTCTCTATCTCTCCTTTTTTTTTCCTCTCTCTATCTCTCCTTTTTTTTTTTTCCTCTCTCTATCTCTCCTTTTTTTTTTTCTCTCTATCTCTCCTTTTTTTTTTTCTCTCTATCTCTCCTTTTTTTTTTCTCTCTATCTCTCCTTTTTTTTTTTTCCTCTCTCTATCTCCCTTTTTCCTCTCTCTCTCTCTCTCTCTCATATTTAAAATAAATAAACTTTATAGCACAATGTAATTTATAAGCTAAAATTGTTTTTACTTGAAATTAATTTTTGCATGTATTAAATTATTTGTTAGGAGAGCCTGTAGTTTCATAATTTCTGGAAAAATTACTTGATTCTTTTTTGCCTGCTAAGCTTTGCTGATCTTTTCTTCTTTCAGGAGAAAGAAAAGAAAACAGTTGTAGAACTAAAAACTGACTTTTGAAAAATGATTATATTTTTGAGATGAGGCTCTGTCACTATACTTTGAAATTATTCAATCTGTTGTTCTCATCTTTAATTGCTATGTTTTTATAGATGCAATATTTCAAGCAATTACTCTCAGACATGCCTCTTATTTTGGCTAACTGGGGATGCAGGGAGTATCTTGTACGGGCATTTTTGGCCCAATCAATGTATATGGATTTCATTACCTGATGCAGAAGCTGAACAATTTGCAGGTGATAGCAACCCTTTATTTAGAAACACCTATATCCACTTATGTTACTGTCCTAGATTGAGAATTCCTCATTTTAAAAAAAAAATTAATCAAAATTATCAACAGCCGTACAAACCTGCCATGATAACCAAATGTTGTAACTATCCTCCAGTGTTGGTCTTGCTAATTGTGAGTTCAATTCTTGGATCAGGTAATGGAATTTATATAAACTGAATCAGTAAGAACAAAGTAGAAATGCCATCAGATGAACAAAAGTAACACAATCAGTTCATACAAGATGTCCCTTATCAGCCAAAATCATGTATACCTGAAAATAGCCAGTTGTTACTTTACCAAAATATATAAAATCTATAACAATTAAGGATGACAGTACTTTGAATAAGCCATGGTCTTTCATCTTTATAAATTTGTGGGAATGTTTTTCTTTCTTGCAGTATTATCAAGATACTTCTGAGGCAGAGTCTTGGATGAGTGAGCAAGAATTATACATGATGGGTGAGGAGCGGGCCAAGGATGAGATTGGAGCTCAGAATATGTTGAAGAAACACCAAAATTTGGAATCTGCTGTTGAGGACTATACAGATGTTGTGCGCCAATTGGGTGAGAGAAGCAGAACCCTTATTGAACAAGAACATCCAGAAAGGTTAGAACAAGCTTCTGTTAGTTTCTTCTACTTCTTCTGTTTTAAATGTATACTTTTTTTTGTTTTTTTTGTTTTTTTTTTGGTGGTGGGGGTAGAATTTCTGGGCAAAGAAAACAAGAACTAGATACCTGTTTTAAATTTGCATTTGACGCCCACCCTTATATTCAAGAGAATCCATATCCATGGCATTTCTTTATTATACCAATGATATCTACCAGAAATCTCTACAATCTGAAAGCTGCTATTTTTATGAGTCATATATTGTTTGAATATCAATGATATAAACTTGCTTTGGGTAGATAGAATTTGTTAGCCTGAAAAGGCAGTCGATTTAGGGGAAAGAAAGCCCTGATTTTAAAACTCTGCTGCCTTGCAATTATATCCAAACATGGAAAAAGGCTACAGAAGTAACTCCACATAGAAAAACCAGAGTGGAGCCCTGAACCTGGTTGTCTTCTGGCAATTCCTGCAACCAAGCTGACTTTAAATGGATCTTGCCAGTCTGGGCAGCACACAATGTCCATATACAATCACCCAGGCCTGTGCCCTGAAGGGGGTTACTCCAGTCTGACCACCAAGAGGCTGAATTTTGACCAAGCAGGGTGCTACTTTTATTTTTCAAGACAAATAGATGCCTATTATAAATTTCAAATTACTAGAATGATTGAATGATGCTAGGGTTAGACAATTAGTGACTGAATCATTTGATGGATGCAATTTGAAATTAGCAATGACTCTAAAATCTATTCAGTTAAAATATATATATATATATATATATATATATATCTCAATATTTTGAACTTCAGATTTCAATTGATTTGATGCTTTAATTATTGAATTGATGGAGCGATGCATTATTGATGATTGTGTTTTTATTTTTTTTAACAGTGAACAAATTGCTGTCCGCCAAGCTCAAGTTGACAAACTTTATGCTGGGCTAAAAGATTTGGCTCAAGAACGACGTGGCAAGCTGGAAGAAGTACTCAAACTGTATACACTAAGTCGTGAGATTGAAGATTTATTACAATGGATTGCTGAGAGGGAAGTTGTTGCTAAATCACAAGAACTTGGACAAGAATACGAACATGTCACTGTGAGTGTTAATGTCTTTTGTCCTTCTTTCTAACACTGCCTGAAATTTTAATAAGCAAAATAGTTTGTTCAGATTGCAGCTTTAAGTGAGGCTTTAAAATTATTTGAGCAATAATAACAGTGAAAAGTGTGACATAGAACTCACAAAGGACATAAGAATACTAAAAGATGCTTATCAAAAACTGAGCAAGGTATTAAGGGATTGAGAAATGTCTCAAGAAACAAAGAAAATAATCCTGTATTGCTTTGTAAGTATTACAATACAGGACTTACACTCCTCTATAGCAGTGAATGATGTGATTTCATCACAAATTGAAAAAGGCAATGGAGATGTTGTTCCACTAAAAAATGTTAAAAATGCCATGGAGAGATCATTAGGAAATGTTTGATGGATGCAATTTGAAATTGGCAATGTCCGCCAAGCTCAAGTTGACAAACTTTAACACTGGGCTAAAAGACTTGGCTCAAGAACGACAAGCTGGAAGAAGTACCCAAGCTGTATACACTAAGTCATGAGAGTGAAGAAATAAACCTGAATGAAGCCTGGACTGACCTCCTTGAATTGATAGAAACCCGGAGAATAGAAACTACAAAATAAAATATAAACTCTATATTTCTGAGATGAGGTATTATGTACACTATTTACATTATTCGGACTATTGTCCTCATCTTTGTCGCCATATTTATTACAACTTTTTGGCTGTTGTATGCTCTGTCCTTCTTCAGGTGGTTGGAATGTCGAACTGAACCCTTTATTTCACTCACTGGGGTAGACTGTTCTTGTTCCACGTGCCATGTCTAATGGATGTCAGTTATCTCAAGGACACATGGCACAGAGGATAAAGGTGTTAGTTAGATCCAGTGACAGGACCCAAAGAGTGTGAGTTCAATACCTGGTTAAGGTGGTGGAGAACTTGGAGAGGGGAATTAACTGATAACTGACATCCATTTGACATGGCACGTGGAACTAGAACAGTCTACCCCAGTAAGCAAAATAAAGGGTTAAGTGCGACATTCCAACCACCTGAAGAAGGCCGGAGCGTACAATGGCCGAAATGTTGTAATAAATATGGCGACAAAGATGAGGACAATAGTCTGAATAATGTAAATAGTGAAAATATAAACTGTTGGTAATGATTAGAATGAGAAAGCTGAAACTTTTCGGATACATAATGAGGAAAGAAGGGTTGAAGAATTTAACACTCTAAAAAGCGGTTAAGGCAAAACAAGAAGGAAGAAAGCAGTGACTTACTTGACAAGTTAGAGGAATAGTTGGAGGAACAAGTACTATAATGAGAATGGAATCCCATAAAAGAAAGTATTGCTGAAGACAACAAAAGACAGGTTGGGGACAAAGATTACTCACATCCTGAAAGTATATATAGCACTCGGATTGATTTTATTTCTGTTAATGTTAATTACTTGATACAAACAAGGTTTTATTTTGTTTTTCCCCTTGTTATAACCATCTGCCATATTTATTTTCTATTTACTTGAATCCATTCAATTTTTGTTTGGGTTTAAGATGAACACTTAATACACATTTCCAACTTTAGAGTCTGTGTGGTGCAGCCATCTTAGCAATATGGAAGAAACACAGACTCTCTCTCAACCCTACAGAATCTGTTCCCACTCGTACCAGTGATACTTGGCCCTGCCTAAATCTCATCTGAACAGGTGTTGATCGCTGTAGAGCCAACCTTCAATAATAGGGATATGCCACCAATGTTTACTCTCAACTGCCAATGTGGATAATTACAAACTATGAAGCATCTTCTAGTTTGTCCCTAATCTTGAAGATTCATGCATACTTAATGACCTTGAACCCTTAACATCCCAGGCTCTGTGTGCAACACCGGATGGGTGTGGTATAGCAACTTGATAAGAAGAGTAATTGTTTACAAACCATTTCAGATTGCGAATTAATTAGATTTTCTCATTTATTTGTGATGTACAGATGGGATAAGTAAACTCGGCAGTGAAGTATGGCTGATCTTTTTTTAAGCAAATATGACCAAAAGATTAAGTGAGATTAAATTAGTGGGTTGGATCATTTCCCAGAATAGCTTGCTTAATATTTGCATTGCCCTGTGTGGAAGTAAAGTTGAAAGAATTTTATAAACTCTTATTACTATTCAAATATAACTGCAAAATTGAAAATATATTCAGAAGTAAACAAAATTTTGTTTAGTTATTAATAATTGAATAATAATTTTAAAAGTTGAATAGGATAATTAGTATAATTTTATTGGTTTAAATTTTAATTTGAGATTTTCAGAATAGTTAATCAGAAATATTAGTAGTCTGTATATTTGAATAAGTATGTATATTTGGGTGTGCAGCTGGTGTAATTTGCTAGGAATGAAAAATCGGAGAGCCAGGTTCAAATTCCAGTTGTGTTCGTTACATTCACTTACATGTAAATACCCTTGGTAAAGGTATGAATTCATCTTGTCTCTTCCCACTGGCTATAGGTTGAATAACAGGACAGGCTAGATGTTGTAGCCTTGGTTGGCAACCAGTCTACAGCAGAAAGAAACTGCAACCTCTTCTTCATAGTCATTCCTGAATCAAAAGAGACATGACCACCCAAGCATGTACCACATATTGCAAATAGGTTTATCAAGTTACTGGTTAAAATGTATATTTCTCCATATTAATGCTGAACCAAATTTGAAGTTCAACTATCCAAATATTTTGATTTAATATTGCACAAAATGTGTCTTTACTTAATTTTGTTTTCATGAACCATGGGTGTTGTTTCTGTTGCAGACATTGAAAGAACGTTTCAAGGAGTTTGCTCGAGACACTGAGAACATTGGTCAAGATCGTGTAGCTTCAGCCTGCGAAATCTGTGATACTCTGATTGCTGCTGAGCACTCTGATGCACCAATCATTGCTCAGTGGAAGGACAACCTGAATGAAGCCTGGACTGACCTCCTTGAATTGATAGACACCCGGACACAGATGTTGCAAGCTTCATGGGAATTATGGAAATTCAACCACGATTGCAAAGAAACCCTGGAGAGAATCCAAGTAAGTTCACAATATGTCACTTAATCTTTTCCTTTTAATCTTGGCTCTTTCAGGGAGGGTTTATTATTATGAAGATTATAAATATTATTTGTATATTGTTTAACTTCTGGTTTCCCTCTTTCCTTCATTTTACACTTCAGTCTTCTACACTTGACATTATTGTTTTCTTGCTGACTTTGTACTTAATATTTTGTTTCATTCAATTGGATTTGAATTTTTTGTTTTTCTCTTCTATAGGAAAAGAAGAATTACATCCCAGAAGAAGTTGGAAGAGATGCACAGAGCGTGGCTGTATTACAGAGAAAGAATGCTAACTTTGAGCATGATCTTATTACTCTTGGAAATCAAGTGAGTAGATTGAACTTTTTGAACCATTCAATGGCTAACAAAAATGGCTTGGGTTTTTTTTTAAAAAAAATTAGCCATTTCTTCTTAAAAGATTAAAGATTTTTTTTTTTCTTTTTTAGAATTTTACTTTGATTAAATGGCCTTTTTTCTTTTTATCAGTATTTAGAATGAAATGTCTAAATCAGAATTGAAATCAGTTTTATTGCCACTGATTTCTAGATGCATTTAGATGTAAAAACTTTCATTGATTGTGAGTCATAGATTAACTTGTCCTAAATCGCTCAAAATCATCTTGATAAATCAAGTTTAATTTGCTTTCTCTCTATTTAATTTTAGAAATATGACTTTGAATAAATTTTTTTTTTTTTTTTTTAATTCTTTGGAATCTCAAAATAGATTTTTTTATTTTTTTATTTTTTTTTTTTTTTTTTTTTTTTTTTTTAGTGAGGAAAAATTTGAAGTTTTTGCCTCAGCCTCTGCAGTCTTTCTTGAAATTATTAAGACTATAACAACAAAAGCAAAATAATTACTAATATGTTCAAGGATTTTTCAACTATAACTTTTCAACTTTCTATTCTGATCAGGTCCATTTAATCCAAGAAGAATCTGCTCGCCTTCAAGTTGGCTATGCTGGGGAGAAAGCCCGTGAAATTCAAAGCTGGGAATCTGATGTAGTTAATGCTTGGCGTAACTTGCAAATGATGGTTGAAAGCCGGAGAATGAGACTTGCTGATGCTAGTGACCTTTATAAATTCTTTAACATGGTCCGAGATCTCATGTTGTGGATGGATGACATCAGGCGACAAATGAGCACCCAAGAAAAACCTCGGTTTGTTTTTCTTTCTTTTTTCAGGGAGGGGGTGCAAGGCAGGTCAAGATTAAATGTTATTCTTTAGGTTTTAAGATTTGTGAAAAAAATAAATTTTACACATGACCTTCCCTCTAAAATTAATAGAAAACTTTCAGATTTGGTTACTATTTACCTTAGTATCATTGCAAAGAAAATTTTTGGTAAGGTAGGAATCCATCTCTTCTCTCCCAGCTATGGGTTAATTAGTAGAACTTGTATCAGTAAATCATTATTTCCCCAAAATTCTTATAATCTAAAAATATTTTCTAGCTTTAAATAACCTGCAACAGATAGATAAGCCATAAAAAGAAACAAATCCATTGAAAACAATTATTGTGGTGGGGTTGCTATCTGGTTACCAGTTCAAAGAATTTCTTGCAGTTATTCCAAGACTAACTTACAAGTCAAACTCGGCAACCTGCAAATGTAACCCCTTTTGTATGCCTGAATAAATTCTGGATATCTACTTACTTACACTGGACTTTATTCTATGGCTTTGTAACAGAAAACTCTTAGGTTGCTTGGAAAATAATGTCTGATTTTAGAATAAACCCCTTTGTGTTCTAATATATTATAATAGTTGCACAAAAATATATTATTCATTCCTATGATTGAAGTGTTCTCTTTGTTAATTTTATATCAATCACTTTTAGAATTTAAGTTAAAACATTATATAACCGCTAATCTTAAACATGAAAAGGAGAGATTACTCTTTTTTTAAAAAATTTTTTTGGCATGAGTTCAAATTTGATCATCTTAAACTGCTACCAACATTAACAGAATGTAGGGTAAAGGATCCACTTGTGATTAGACACTACGGTGCTGGTTTCTGAAGTTCTTGTGGTCTGCCATTGGTGTTATCCATTAGATTTCTGAATCTAACCAGAGCATCACTGCCAAATGTTTACTGATAGCTACTTTCATGAAATGCACATTCAGTTAAGCAAAATACAACTGACACTGATTAATTGATGAGGTCGAATTCTGCTTCATGACAATGCTCGGCCACATATTGCAAGGATCACACTGCAGAAACTCACTGACTTGAGATACAAGACTTTGCCACATCCACCCTATTCTCCTGATCTATCACCCACTGACTACCACTTTTTCAAACATCTTGACAATTTTTTAAACCAAAAGACATTGTGTTGCAAAAAAGATTCAAAAACTGCATTTAAAGATTTCTTGGTGTCCAAGTTTTATCATAAAGGTATGCAAATGGCAGAAATGTATAGATGTTCAGGCTATTTTGACCACTTTAAAAATTTTTTTAGATACATTAGTTCCGGTTCAAAGCTCAGTTCTAAAATTAGGCATTATTTTCCGAACAACCCAACAATAAAGGCTTGCCATTAAATGTTTATCATTTGTTGGTAAAATACCAGACTTTTGCTACCCTTTTATAAAGTATTTTTTTCTGAAGAGAATATTAACTATTGGCTTTTAAAAACCTTGTACTTTGCTTATCTGTCTAATACTTTTTTCCAGGGATGTGTCTGGTGTAGAATTGCTTATGAACAACCACCAGAGTTTAAAAGCAGAGATTGATGCACGAGAAGAAAACTTTGCTATTTGTATAAACTTAGGAAGAGATCTTTTAACACGCAAGCATTACCGATCCAGTGAAGTAAGTTGTCACTTTCTTTTTACTATAATCATCCTTTTTGTTATTCTAATCATCCTTTTTATCCTCATCATAATTCTCATTCTAATCATCCTTTTTATCATTGCTGTGATGGTTGAGGAATTACTGGTATTCAACCTGCTTGTTAAAATATTCTAGATTATTATTTCAAGTTTAAAATATTAGTATTATTTAATATATTTGAAGTTTAAAAAAGTATTTCCTTTACAAAAGAAGTGCTCTTCTACATCCTTTTTGATTGCTTTAGATAAATAGATCTGTGTATGTAAATTCACTTTCTTTTTCTTTTTGATAAGCTTTTATTGACAATATGGTATTAAAATTTGAATTAATTCTCATGCTCTTGTCAAAATATTCCGATTACAAAATTATATACAATTCTGTGAAGTAACTTGCCATGGTTAATTGTGATTGTCCAAATTTCTCAAGCAATAAGAAAAAAAAGGAACAAGGCAAAATAATACTAAGTAAACATATATAATTCTTACTTTGTGTGATTTGCACATTTTATTCACATGCAAAAGAGATGCAGTCAAATGATTGTTTTGTTCTAAGTTCATGACAAGAAAGAACAAAAATATGGCAGATGAGACCAAGAATTGGTTCATTTTTATTGGTTAGGAAGAAATCCCATAATGCATCTGTATGATTTGTCTACAAATTTAGTGAGAGGATGTTCTTAGTTGTCTTTATGAGAATGCCTCCACCCTTTTTCCTCTTCTATGGATCAATAAATATGAAAAAGATACATATAAATATTTACAATTGTCTTTGCATTTTTCTTTATTTTTTTAATATTTTTAAAAATAACAATATTTATGTTTTGCATGTAATGGACATCTATTTTTTTTATTTTTTTATTTTTTTTTTTCCACAAAAGGGTAGAGAAAAAATAATAGACACATTGGATAATTTATAACAAAACTGACTTGTTGAAATATTTTTGATTTGCTTTTAATTCTTTACCCTTTTGATTTATTCTTTTATGATTTATTTGTAGGTAAGAGAAAAATTAATACAGTTAACGTCCCAGAGGCATTCCATGAATGAGCAGTGGGATGAGAGATGGGAGTACTTGCAGCTCAGTATGTGTTCTTTTGGTTTTTTTTTTTTCCTTTCTTAAAATTTACAAAAACATTATTTTCATCTATTTTTAGAGTTGAATTTCTCCATAAGGAACAATAATTTAAAATAGATTTTGAATAAAAATATCTAATCACTTTATATCCTAGTCTTTTTAAAAATTAGTTTAAAAAAAAACAAAAAAACTTCCACTTTTCCTTTATAAATGTTCTTGAATTTAAAAACCTATTAATGCAAAGAAATATGTTTGAAGAAATATCTTTGATTTAAACATTGAAATTTGTAATGCATATGACTATTTTTTGTTCTCTTTATTTTGCTGCTTTCAGTTTTGGAAGTCTACCAATTTGCCCGTGATGCCGCTGTGGCTGAAGCCTGGCTCATGGCTCAAGAACCCTACCTACAGAACCAAGATTTGGGTGTAAGTTGACAGCAAATTTCTTTTGACTACAAGTGCAACTGGTTTGTTGCATAGAATCTTGTGTATTTTTCATATCCTGAAAGATTAAAAAAAATAATTTTAAGTAAAAGAAACTTTTTTTTCTTTTTTTTTTTTTTCATTCATTGCTTTGCCTTTCAGGATACACTCGATGCTGTGGAGAACCTTATCAAGAAACATGAGGCCTTTGAAAAGTCTGCAGCAACTCAAGAAGAACGATTTGCTGCTTTGGAAAAACTCACAACAGTAAGTATTAGTTTTTTTTTTATACTTGGCTCACATGACTCCTTTCATCCAATGAGACAAACTGAATACAAGTTGTTAATATTGATATTATATCCCCTGCTATACAGAAAAAAAAAAAAATTATGCTATATGTGAGAAAACTTCCTCTTCAAGAGAACTATTTTACTAACTTAGAGTTTTATAAGCTCTTTATTAAATTTATACTTTTATTCTACTTGTTGGTGTGTATAACTTTTCGGCTTTTCAAGTTTCCATCAGTGTCTAGTGTTAGGCTTTTCAACCTGGGACCAGTGTCTATTTTGGGATTTTTCAACCAGCTAATGAGCTGCAATAAATTCAGTTTTCTGACTGAGAAATGTATATAATAATGATATTAAGCAGGAAGGAATTGGGAAAAGTGATGAGTGAAAAAATGCTTTAAAGCAGTGGTACACAAGCATTTTTTTTTTTTTTTTTTCTCTGGGATGCATTTTTTTAATTAAAATTTGCTCATACCTACCCACATTTTATGTGATAAAAAGTACATTTGAAATTAAAAAAAATAAAAAAAACAGAATTAAAGGGAGATAACCGTGGATTCGAAGTCAGAACATTATCATGGAAAACTCTCTCCTCCAATTTTTGTAGACCCTAGTAACTATATTCTTAATACTTGGTATAATGAAAAAATATCATAAAATCAGTTAATAATTATTTATAACTATTTATACTGGGACTCATGCAAGCAATTACGAGTAATTCGTAATAATATTTAAAATTTTGAGAACACTTATTTTTGGCATATAAATTTTTTGAAATTGTTTCTAAAGCTTTGATTATCTTTCAATCATTCTGCCTCACTTCCTATCCTCTTCTGCCACACATATGAGGTGTGCTGCACTGTTTTGGGAATCACTGTTTTAAAAGCAAAAACAGGTAAAAGGAAAACAAGCTCAAGTGCACATACACATGCTTATTAGTTAGTGATATAAGGAATCAAAATAATGTGGGGAGGAAGAACAACAAAATGGCCTTTAAGTAAATTTAAGGAAAAATATAGCTTCTGTATGAATTGATTATGTCTAGAGATTTACACAGTGCTGATAATAGTTTGCAATAATTATTGCATTTGATGGACAATTTTCTCAGATGTTCCTTCATCGTGTTAAAGACATAAATGTTATCTTTCAAACAACTTTCTCCAAAATTTTAGTCATGTAGCAAAACTAAAACAAGGACTTTGTCATGAAGATGAATCAGTTTTCTTTATTTCGGTTTTTTGAACTCTTTTTCACTTGTATTTTCAGTTTGAACTTAAAGAAATCCAAAGAAAACAAGAAGAGGAATATCGGCAAGAACATCCTGATGAAGTAGCAAAATCTAAAGAGGAAAAGAGACGAAAATACATTGAGGAATTTGTGCCCCCAGAAGAACCGTGAGTAAAAAAAAAAAACAAAAAAAACAAAGTTCAAAATATTTAACTTTTGAGATGTTAAGGGAAGCATTTTGTAACTACCAAGGTTTATTGGTCATATTGTATTTGAGCCTTATCAGTACCAAGATAGGTAACCACATGGGAGTACGGAGTGGTGTAAGCTTGGATGTGCAGGCGGCGTTATTCATTAATAACTGCTTGGAATTGGAAATGGTAGATCAGTTCCAATTCTAGTCAGGTTTGTTATATTCACTTATGTGTAAATACCTTTGGGGAAAGGCATGAATCCACATCTCCTTCCCCAGTTATGGGTTAATTATGACTTGTATCAGTAAATAATTATCATCGTCAAAAAATTTTTACAATCTAAAAATATTTTTGGCTTTAAATAAACTAGAAAAGCTGTAAAAAGCAATCACTGTAAATACCAAACGGAGGGGGGTGCTTTTGGCATTGACCAAATTGGGAAAACTGTTTAGATTTTTATTTATTCTTTTATTTCTAACTTTTAACTGCCTGATTTCTTATTGGATCTGATTGCAATAATTCATTTTATTGTTTACTACAATTTATTCACTGCAATGACTTACTACTTCCAAAGGGAATATATTGACAAAAGCATTATGATAACTAGAAAACTTAGAACCATTTTTGATCCTGGAAAAACCAAAAATGAACTTGATTTTGGGAAGAAAATAAGTTTGTGTCAGAATCAGTTATCATTTTGTGTATGTATTGTTTCATATTTGAAATTACTAAGTCACTTGACTACGACTAAAATTCTGTGTTTTCAGCCCAGAGCCTGAACCTGAAGAACATCCTTCGACAGAGGCTGAAGAGGGTGAGGGTGCAGCTGAGGAGAGCTCACAGCCGGCCATGATTAATGGGGACAAAGATGAGCTTGACGAATCAGGTAGGAAGAGGAATGGAAGGATGTTTGGTACTTAGAAGAAACTGTGTGGCCTATAAATGAGGCTACCACTACATTGTCTCTTGTTGTAAATGAGCTGGCATCTGTGATATAATAGTACAACATTGCATGCCCAACATGTCATGACCTACATTTGTAATGTAGCCATATTTGTCCATCGTTAAGTACTTTCTAAATGAAAGCCATGATTGTTGCTTTTGAAAATAAATTTTGATTGGTGGGCAGGGAATTGTGGGAGATATATTTTTAAGAAACACTTGACAGCAACCAGTGAAAGAGAGAGAAAAAAAAACATTCAAAATCATGCATTTTGTTGTTCAAAAAAAAAAAAAAAAAATTTGGTTTTCCTCATTTTTTTTTTTTTTTTAGCACCATTATTTATATCTTATATATATATATATATATATATATATATATATATATATATATATATATATAATTTTAAATACTGTTTTGAGAGAATGTTAGTTTTGACAAACACTGTTTATATTCACAACAACAAAAAAACAATTTGGGTCAGGGAATTGACTTAACCAAACAACCATTTTAATCTGAAGAAGGGACATGCAAAGTAATATTCAGTTGTGTCAACACCATATGCAAGTTTCAATCATTTGCCTGAAATGATTGTGTGTTTACCCTCTCTCCCACCTTCTTCCCCCAACCCCCCAAAATAACAAATTCTGATTTTCCTACCCCTTCTACTCAAGAAATGCTTATACACTAGTCAAGCCTACAGTGTTGGGTTGAGGCAGTGCAGCTGTGTTTAATGCACAGCCAAGATATATACAGGCACAAAAAGAGATTTAATTGCCTTCGCCTCCTCCCCCTCTTCTTTCAAATAATAAAAATTTGAAATTTGAAGCTGAGTTGAGACAGGCAAAATTTCATTTGCCAGAGAGGAAGTTCTCATTGACAAACTCAGACAATTTTTTTTTTTTTTTTATGTTTCTTTGCCTATTTTATTGCATGCATGCTGTACCTTTTTTAATTTTTTTTCTTTTTTGTGTATATTCTCAAGATTTCCCTTTTTGTCTTCTCCCAGATGTCTTATCAACTAGGGAAAAGGAACTATTTATCTTAAAATCAAAATAGGACTTCAGTGATTCCAGTATGATACTGAACACTGTAGTCTGATTCAAATCCTCATCAATTTAATACAGAATATTTTCTGGTGAGAATAAATGAGATAAATAAATAATACTATAAACATAACAAATGCAGCCAGAAATAGTTTTATATGTATATATACACATACATGTTTCATTAAATAACATAGACAAGTGTTGTCTATTTATTTTATGTAAATCACACAAATATATATATATATATATATATATATATATATATATATATATATATATATATATTTTTTAAAGAAAAACAGACCACTTTAAGGTACCATTATAATAATTTATTTCACCAGAGTCCTTTTAAAGGATGCTGGATCATCAGATAGCACTTCCAAAAACTTATCATAACTTATATAGTGCTTCCAAAAAAAGTAATTCACTGTTCTGTTTAAAAAATAATGCTGCATTCTAGCCATTTTTTGTGAAGCTTAAGCAAAAAAATGTGATTTTCCAACTTTATTAGTTTCCTTGTTTAAGATGTTAGTGATGGCCATTGGTGACTCATGCCTCTCTTGAGTTCTACCATCTGTCTTGTTGTAGGAAGCCTTTCTTGTTGAGATGTTTTGTTTATCTGATGAGCTTTGGTTGCATGCTGAAATATGTAATGAACTTTGTATACTGATTGGCTTCACTTCTACACTCTTCCACTTTTTACCTGTGGATTACATTAAAATTCAAGATAACAGTGCCCAAAGAATTGAAAATGAAGCTTAATTTTTCATTGTTGCATCTCTGATAAATGCTTTTGGAGATTGTCAAATGGGACTTGTTTCTAATCACATGATCTCTCAAGTTTTTAAGGGCTTATGCTATTATTTCTCTCATTTAATACGTTGCATGCTTGTTTTTGAAATCAGTTTGGATTTCATATTGTGTGCAGACTTTATTTTGGATCTACACTTGAGAGAATCTTTCACATTAAGAATGAAAGTAAGCTTTCTTGGGCAAAAATGAAGTTATGTGCCTGCAATAAGATTTAGTGTTAAAGGACAGTTTTTCTTATGACACTGCTTTTTATAACTACCATCACTATTCAGAAATGTTGATGTTGTTTTAAAAAGTGGGGATTTGAATTGGAATAAAATCTAGACGTATGATGAAAGTGAATTTATACTTTTTCATTCTTCAGAATTTACAACAAAACTATTAAACACTTTTTATTAGATTGTTTACTTACAAGAATAATTTTGGATTTACAACATCCTAAAAACAAATACAAGTAGTACTAATGCAATGCAGTATTTATTATTTACCAATTTATAAAGAAAAAAATGTGAAAATTTTTATTCTTGAATTTATAAACATTTACTAAATTATTAAAATATTAATCAACTATAAGGAAATCCTTATTTATAATTTTATAATGTTTGAATACATTGCCAACTAGCCAATGTCTTGCCAATCATTTCAATAAATGATATAATAAATACTGTAAATAAATAATCTAATAAATTATTATTTTTGTTGTCATTTCTCAAGAATAAAAAAAAAAATGTATAAATTCAGTTTCAAATGTTTAGGTTTTATTACAATTCTAATCATCGCTTTTTTAAACAATAATTATTGCCAAAGAATGAAAGTAGTTAAATAAAAAAAAAAAAAATGGTGTCATGAGGAAAACGGTCCTTTTGATATTGTCTTATTCTTATTGTGGGGCATGTTTATCCATGGTTGCCCTTTCTTCAATCTTAAGATTATTTTCTTAGGACTTTATTTGAAAATTTCTAATTTTACCTTTTCATAGATTAAGAAACTTTTCTTTTTTCTTTTTTTATACTTTTTTACTTAAAGTAAGATTATTTTTTTTTCTAATAGTTTTTGCTCGTATTTGTTTGATTATTTTTGTTTAATTTTTGCCTTCTTCACCCTCCTTTTGTCTTTTTATGAGATTTTGTTTTGACAATTTTTCTCTTGCAGATTTGTGTGTAAATTTTTGCCAAATGTTCTTTTCTTTGGAAGTCTGGCTTTTCACTTTATTGTGGTTTCTTTTCTTACACTAATTGCTTAAGAGTCAAAGTTTCAAACTGCACATCATTGCATATGTCTCTTTTTTTTTTTTTATATATATATATATTTTTCTTTTTTTTTTTCTGAAACAAATTGAATTTATTTAGCAGAAAATTATAACAATATAATTAAAAGTATTTGAACATGCAATGTGATATTTGAGAGAAATTTTTGAAAAGGAATTATTTCTAGATGAATAGTTTTTTTTTTTTGTTTTTTTTTTAATCATCTCACCCCATGCAAGGCAGTAGAGCCACTAAGACACAAGGGGTTACCAAGTAAAAGAATAAAAAAAAGAAACATTATTAAAGAATGAGAATAATAGAAATGTAATCAAGTGGAGAGTAGATAACAATTGACATTGCATTTGAATTTTTGAAGATCAAAAGTAACTACAAACCAAGAAACCAAAAGAGTTCCACAAGCGAGAAGTGTGAGAAAATAAACTGTTAACATAGAACATATGGTTACATCTAGCCAATTCATCTGTGAATTGATGAAACCTTGCTGACAATCTAGTACTGCATTTAAATTCATAAAATCTAAGTACCATGGCGAAGAGTTCATCTGAATAATTACCATGAAAGTATTTATAGAAAAAACATAGGGAAGCTACATTAGGAAAGTGACTGAAGCTGAGATGCCAGGTCAGGACCAATAATATTGTTGATTATTCTTTGAATTTTATTAAGAATCTCTAGATATACAGCAAAAGCACCAGACCATATGTGGCAACGATATTCAAGGCATGGACGAAGGGTAGACTTATAAATATGTAAGATACAAATGTTGGTTGGCATTGGAATAAACATTTTAGATGAATAGATTAAATCTCTAAATGTTTAAATAAGGTTATACATTTGGTTGACATATTAATATGAAAATAATCTAAATCAGATAAAGCTTTCAACTTTAAATTGTTTTATAAAAATTACAAAAGATCTATATTGAACTTGGATTGTTTGTTTTTTTTTGTTTTTTTTTTTAAACTAATAAAACATTCACATTTACAATGGCCTAACAAGACAGGCAACTAAAATACTGATTATAAAAGAGTTGTTTTAACAATTTAAAGATATTTGAAAAATATAATTTTTCTGGATAGATGTTTGTTTAGGTTAGTCTCGGACATAGAGCAGGGCATCAAAACTTAATACTCTGGATAAATGAACAGGTGAGATAAATTTGTTAATCATGGCTCTATGGCAAGTGCCCATCATTTTCTCATTTTATTTGTCCCTTTGGGTCCTTAGAACCACCAAACTTTACTTGCTTTTAAAAAAAACTTCATTGTTAATGAATAAATATGAGCCGTTATCAGAAACTGACCATTTTTGCAGAGTATTTTATCTTTGAAACTTTGACTCTTAAGTTTGGGAAGATAAAAAAAAATAGTTTTATAATGTATTCTATTTCATTCTTTATCACCACTGCACTATGATATTTTGTTTTAATGTTAAACATTTTTATTGCTTTCTGTCTAAGATAATTTTTTATTTTTTTTTTTGGTTACTTTGTGGTAGAATTCCTGGCAAACCTGCTTTGTATTTGCTTCCCCAATTCCTTTGTTTCATTAGCTGCATGCTTTTTATGTTTCCTACTCCCCAACTCCTTTTTTGTTTATTAAACCAACCTTTGACTGCCTCCTTTCCCCATATACCTGCTGCTGATTTTATAAACATATATAATGTGTGTGTGTGTTTTCTTATTTCCTTATTTTGGGCTGAGCCCTGCTTTTGACAATCCCAATTATTATATTCGTTTTTGTAATTTCATTTGTAAAATTGAGACTTCTCTCTTGTTATTGTATCTTGAGAGCCATTGAATTTCTCAAATTATATGGAAAAAAAAAGACTACATGGATTTTTCTGCTTTTTTTAATTGAATGAGTGCTGACCTTTCATCCTTCTGATATGCAAGACTGACAAATGGACTTATCTTAAGGGACTGATTGGCTTATTGGTGATTCGCTTACTAACAATTACAGGAGGACTAATTTGGTTTTTAGTGTCACTTCCTGCGTGAATGTTGTTGCTGCCATGTAGTCTGTTTTCTTATTCTAGTTGAGCTTTCTTTTTTTTTTTTTTCTTTTTTTTTTTTTTTTTTCCACTTTTTTACTGGATAATAATCAAAGGAGGAAAGATTTTGAGCAACTTCTGATGTTTGGTTGAGTGATATTGATGAAAACGATTCCTCAAGTAACGATATATTTTTTTTTTAATTTTGCTTTAACTACATTAACTGATATTGAGCACTTTCTGCAACATTGTCTATGAAGAAACCATATCAGAAAATCAAAGAATCAAAAAAAAATAAATCCTGTCATCAACATAAAGACATTTTGGATTGATATTCTGATCTTTTTGTTGTTCGAACTTGATGAGTTAACAAGATAGAGAAACATACACCATATGATACATTTTTGCATCAAGTATTCCTCAACTCATTTACCAAAACTCTTATCATCTGAGCAAGAATTTTTCACACATGTCTAGCAAACCAATTTTTATTCAAGAAGAAATGTACTTCCTGCCAAATGATAGATCCCCAAAAGGATTGTTTCAACTTGATGTCTGCATGTTTAGCTGTATGTCTAGACTACTGCTTGCACTAAAGCTATCAAACCAGTTCTTATCGTCTTCTATCAGGAACTTCTTTCGCACTGGTAAAACAAAACTTAACCCTATACAGACTGTACTTTGGAATATTAACAAACATTTCTCTGCTTTTTGGGACTAGCTTTTGTGTTATTTTCCTTGTGATTTCAGTGGTTTTCCAATCATCATCAGGTGGCAAGACAAAAAATAATTTGCTTTACTAGTTCATTTTCATATAAATCTTACCTGATTTACACAGCTTATAAACAATGATTTATGAAAATTTAGTTTACATGGAAATATATGAAATTGCACAATAAACACACCTTTTTAATTTGTACCTTTTACCATCATAGATTGAAGAATAAATTGACTGAAAGATTGTCTTAATGTTAAGGGGTTCAGTTGTTTTGAACCAAATTTGAAATGTTAATGACTCTTCTCAAAATTATAAACAATTTGTGCGCACACACACACATATATATATATATATATATATGTGTGTGTGTGTGTGTGTGCACAAATTGAATTATATTCAATAAAAATTCCTTATTAAATCAAAGGAATGAATTAACAGTAAAATGTAAACATAGTTTACCTTTTATCTTACAATTTAGTTAAACTTTGGAATTTGATTATGCTTTTTCTTATATTTTAGTTGTACTGCATTGCACCATATATGGCTTATCTTTCTATTTGTAAGGTTAATTTAGATTTAATATAATCTATTAATCTCCTGGTAGTATTATTAACATCTTGTACAGATGTATTGGTATTTGGTTGGTATTTTTAACATTTTAAGTTGATTGGTTAGTGTTATAAACATCTTATATGAATAATCTTTATTCATCAGTTGCATATTAATTTACCAAATAATTCTATATGTTTAAATTATTAACTAGTTTCTTAAAGAAGCTATTTATTTATCAAATATAAAAAAAAAAATTGTAGGAAATTCACAAAGCATATAACTCCACCCCATTTTTATTTCTTAGGAAACAACATTGTCTAGTTTGTATAATATATGTAACCATTTACATCTGCTCTAGTCTGGCTGCCATTAGATGCCACTCTACGGGTTTTGATCCATTTCTAAAAATAATTTTTATTTTTGCTTCTTCACTTAATTTGAATTTAACTTAGGTCATAATTGATTGGTCGATCAGAGGGAAGCCCTGAAATCTTATAACCCCTGCCCTTTTTTTTTCTTTTGTCATAAAAAGATGTTTTTTGCTTTTAAATCTAAAATCATTCACTCCCTAGTAATTTAAACTGCTTGATGAGATGCATTGATATGCATTGAAACATGACGGCAATTGTGTATCAATTTTGATATGTTTTCTGTGTGATATCCTAAAATAAATAATATTGCTCTACTTTGTATTGAGCCCTCTTTTAAATTAAATGTTACAAATGTTGGAATTGTACTCTATTTGTTCTCATCTGACCTATGTGTGTGCACACAAATGCACACCTAACCACATGAATATATTGTGCTTAGTTCTGATCCAACATTCAAGAAGGCATTCCAACATGCTTGACTTGTTAAAAAGTGACTATCCATAGTATCTACATAAAAATGAAATAATTTAACTATACAGCTGTACAAATAAGACTTAATAATTCCTCTTTTTGAGATTGGAAAACTCACTGACCAGTATTTTGAAAGCAAGGTTAATAAATATAAAACTAATGGTTCCCAAAGCAAAATTGCTTTCTTAACTGCCTAATATATGTCTGTTAAAATTTAGATGCTTTAGAGAGAGGAAAATAACATCCTTGTTGTGCCTCTGTCTACCTGTCTGCAATGCTGTGTATCTGTTTCTTTCCTGCTGCTGCTGCTGCTGCAGCAACAATTACAGGTGAAATAAGAATTGTCTTCCACTCAAGTGTTATCCTCTTCATCATCATATCTTTCTATCTACACAACAAATTTTGTTATTGCTTGTAACAGGCCCATCAGTGACCACCATGGCCACCACACCTACAACTACCACCAGTGCACCAGCTGCAACTCCGGAAACATTGAAGCCTCGCTCAAAAGGTGATTTGGTTTACGCTGGGGTGGATGCTATCTGCTTCTTAATTTACCCTCTTAACATCATGGCCAATGGAAACCAAATGCAAGGAAACAAAAAAAAAAAAACCCCTGTAGACCAGAAAACTTGCCAAGCTGTGCTTTTTCATTTGTCTTGCATTGTGGATTTTATTAACCAATTTGTAAATTAGTTTTGTTGGGTGAACAAAAGTGGTTGTAGTTAATCGATTTTACACTTCTATGGAGATAGGTCTCTAAAATGGTATACAGTCAGTCAAAAAGTAATGCCAGTCTTTCTTTAATTGCAATAAGTTTAATAGACGTTCACAAAGCTTAACCAAATGAACAATGTTTTCAGGTTTCTAAATCTCTTCAAGATAGCCTTCTTCCTTTTTAGTTGCGGTATTCCATCTTTGAATGAGGTCTGTGTCTGTGTGTGTGTATATATATATATATATATATATATATATATATATATACACACACACACTCAGCTCATAGATGTTTCTTGGCGACTTAATCTTTATCTTGTCATTGGAGAAATGATCTCCTGAGTGTCTCATTCAAAGGTCCAAAAGAGATGAGGGTGATAGTTCAGGAATGTAGAAGCCTTTTAGTCAGTAACTACTCTATTCTCTTTCATGAAATCTGTCTGCATTCTGGGAACCCACTTTACACAAACCTTTCATTAATCAATGAGCACTAGCAGTGCCCATCAGTTTGACCTTTATCCTTATTTACAAAAGTGTATGGTCGGATTCTCCTTTCTCTCTCTGATTGTCAGAAATTCTTTTGACCCATGTCCTTACATATCAAGTATAACCTTTCTATAAACATTCACTAACCTCCTGTGAATGTTTCTAGCACTTTCTACTTCCAAAATTTCTCAATGCTTTTTGTTTCCTGTGACTAGAGGTGGGGGGCGGGGCAGCCATTTTGGAAGAGGAAGTAATTCTACAAATTTTTTCCCCTGAACTTCTACACACTTTATGATTTATAGCTTTACAAGAAAATTAAATTCTGGCTAATTTTACTATTAAAGTAAGACTGGCATCACTCTTTAACTGACATTGTATATATATATATATATATATATATATATATATATATATATATATATATATATGAAATGTTTCATGCAAATTTTAAAGCTTTTTTTTTTTTTTTTTTTTTTTCTCAAGGGCTTTGTAAATTCTCTTTTTCACTCCTATGGAACTTTGTTCTTTCCTTGATGCTGTGGGTCAGAAATTCCTACTCAAATTGCGGAGCTGTTTCTCTCCTACTTGGGTCACTATTATTCATATATCCCATGGTTATAGTTGTCTATTTATTTTTGTCCTAATCTATGTCGGAATGAATCGTGGCGAAATGGGTTTTTGTCCTTGTTTTGAACAGCAGCAACAAACGGTATAGTTCCTGACTTTACCCTTGCGTATAAAACTTCAGCCATCAGTAAACAGCTTTTATTAACATGCTACAGATACCCTGGAGTTGGACATTTTTTCTCTACTCCCAGTTTTTTTTCTTACTACACTTCATTTTTTTTTTTTTTTTCATCTGTGACTTTTTCACTCTAACCTGCTTTTAGCTTTCACTTCCTTGAAAAAATATTTATAAATCTTTTTTTTTTTTTATTGTAATTTTTTTGTTTTTTGTGGAAAACATTGTTGATTAAACTCTAGTCCTCATTCATAATGTTTAATAGACTTTTATGCAATCATGTTTCCTGTTACAAATGTAAAAAAAAAAAAACCCTAACCTATTTCCTTATGGTTGCCATTACTGTCTTATAAAAGAAAATGTTATTTTAAAGTAGAAATGAATCTTTGCATTTTAGTTTACTAATTACAGTAATTAATACCATTAAAGTATTCTTTATTTTTTTTTTTATGCTTTCCTCTTTTAACCTTTTTCTGCAATAAATCATCATAATCCTGCGATAATTTTTCAAGAATCTTTTTTTTTTCTTTTTTTTTGTTAAATGCACTTAAATTTTCTGGTTTGACAAATGAATGAATAATCAACCTGTAAAGAAATATTAAGTTACAGTTCGACTCAACTTGCTATTAATTATCATGTATATAGCTTTTACACCTGATAAATTCTATTATTTAAAAAAAAAAATTGCCATTTTTAAGCTGATCTAGTGTTATGTTATACTATAAAATCTATTACATCACTATTGTCTAACAAATTAAAATAAAGATAATCTCAACAAAAAAAAAACCTAAAATATTAAAATGTCCATCTTTATAATTTTTTTTTTTTTAATCAGGTTATTTATTTGGTTCTTATTATAATATCAGTTATTTGTTCATATACCTTTCACGTTACCTTCACAATGTTTTTCTTTTCCCTGAACTTCTGCCCTTGTCTCTCACTCGCAGTAATCCATTCTCTTTCCATCTTGCTTCTGAGGCTTCTTTTTTCCCTACTAAATCCAATAATTTAGCTATTACTAAATAATTTTCTTCTTTTTCTTTTTTTTTTCTCTTTCCTTCCAAGACTAATTTTACTTTCAATGACTTTCTACTTTTTTTCTCTTGTTTCTCTTTCTGTTTTTTTTTTCTTTTCTTTGTCTGTTTCTTTTTAATTTTTTCTTTCTCTGAGAAATAAAGACCACAGCATTTACAGTTTTGCATGTAACTCCAACTGCCGCATGCGTCAATTTTATGTCCTTGTTTCATCGATCAAGGCCCTGGTTCATTCGGCTCGCCATCCACCAAAGATCGCTCTCTGGATATGCACACACCAGTCACCTCCCCGGAGGACTCAACACAATTAAAGTCCAGGTCTCTCCCCCACAGGGGCAGCTCTGCAAAGAGTAGGTGCTTTTATAACACTGTCTCCATCATCATTTCATTTTAGTCATTTCAACTAATGTTATTTTAAAGCAAATTTTCAGTTGTTGACATAAATGAAATAGAATTAATACAAGTTCGCATTTTTACATTGGGCTCATGCCATGCCATTTAATTTGACAATTTGCAATAAACTGTAACTTCCTTTTTTAAATCTTTTAAAATGGATAATATAAACTTAAATTTCATGAACATTAAGTATTTAAGTGTTAAATCTATTTTTTAAAGATAAAACAAAAATAAGCCAAACATAAATTGTTGAATCTAGACAAAAAAATTAAATCTGAAATAAAACCACTTTATTAAAATGACTAAAATCACAATTTAAATTGAAGCCTAAGTTTTAATGAATTAGTTTAATAAATGCTTTATCTAATATCTTTTAACTTCAAACTTTTAAATTTTATACTTACCAATTTTTCTTGTAAAATTATTTTTTATTGCTCCGCTTGTTACAGAGTTTTTATTCACTCTGTATATACTGTGCTTGTTGGGGTTTTAAATTTTATCCCCAATGGAATCTCTCAGCTTTGCTGCAGTATTCATATCAGCATTCAAATATTTAAACTTTATTATTATAATTATTATTATTATTATTAATCTGTTTGCTTACTTTTTCTGCTACTCTTTCCTTTTTTCTTTTTTCATTCTTAACACTTATGGGCTTTTTATTAATTTTACTTTTTGAATTTATTTTTATATTTCTGCAAAATTAACCTAAACATAAATTATAGAATTAAACACCTAATTTAAATATTTAGAAAAAAAAAAGTATTACAGGTAAGATTTCAAACTTGCTTTATTTTATTTACTTTTTTTCTTATCAATTATAAACAATCTTAAAACAAGCAGTGGAATGTCAAAATCTCTCTATCCTATTTAAGATCATTTTCATTGATATCAGACATCATCTTCATTGTATATGATTTCTCTCTTCCATTTGTGATTGTTCTGTGTTGTCCTTTACACTGAAAACGCACCATCATCCCCACTCTGTGTCCAGTGAACATTGTCCTTGTTTTCCTACCTTTGCACAATTCTTTTAAGCACCTTGACGGCTTCTCAATGATCAGTCTTTCTATTTGTTATTCTCATCTAACTACCCAACTCCTTGGCTTGGACTAAAATCAAGGAAAACAGGTTATCTTTCAAATGTTTTATCTCCTAAATTGATAAATATATCTTTAAAGGTGAATCTGTTGTGCCTACTTTGATATATTAGCATCTTCAGCTCGACTGGTCCGTCATTTAACCTTTCTTCTGTTTCAAGAATAAGGATATTTGGGTTCAATTGCTGTTACAATCAACCACTTATCTGTAGGTTGGGACTTTGAGTCCTTCTTGTTGTCATTCTCCCATCTCTCCAAATTGTTACCTGCTACAACCAGCAAATACATGAAACTGAAGCACCTATTGAACTTAGCTTTCTTGTTCCCCAACAAATAGTAATGTTTTTTTTTTTCTTTTTTTTTTCGTTTGATCACTGGAGGATTAATTTCCTTCAAGGCACTTAATCCATGTTATTTGCATTACAGTTGCATTGTTTGTTGATCAATTGCATGCTGTTTCATTTTGTTTCTTTGTTTAACCTAACGTTTATTGAAATTGTTCTGTTGGTTTTTCAAGAAATTCTTTATCTTTATTTACTGTTTCAGTTTCATTTTGATAAAGTAGCATTTTAAATGATAATTGTCATTCCTTAAATTAAATTTACTGTTAAAAACATATTGACACTAATTTTAAATAAAGTTTATTAAACTTCTGTTTAAATAATTTGAGATAGTCATTTGCTTTTTTTTTTTTTTTTTTTGTTTTTCCATGATCAGAACTCTCTTTGCTTCTTATGTAACTTTTCTATTTTGTAATTGAGTCAATATAGAAATTTATTTCTTTGCAAAATCCAAACTAATGGGATTTGATTTTCATATTTCAAGTCAGAATTTGTTATTGGTTCATATTGACAATCATGCAATGTCTATTCCTTCAGCTTTTATTTGAAAACATTCAATGGTTAAAACCAGGATTTTTTTTTTTTTATTTATTATTATTAAATGAAGCATAGGTAACCATTATTATTCATTATTGTCTCATTTACTTTCATCTTTATTTTTCTTTTAGTTGCTTTTTATTGCAACTTCCAGTCAGGCTGTTGATCTACAGCTTTTGTTTCGACAAGTTGAGATAAAAAAAGTAACTTAAAAGGAAATAAAGATAAATGTCAAACTAATAATTTATTCTTAACTTTTTTAGAAATTTTTCCATTATGTTAACATTATTTTTTACCAGGAATAAAAATCAATTTTTGATTGAAACACTTAATGAACCACTGACAGATTTCTGCATTTTTTTGTTTTACTTTTTGTTGTTTTTTTTTAAAAAATTTTTTATTTACTTACTCACCTTTTTGCTTAAGAAAATTTTATGCAAACCTCCCCAAATGCTCTTGCTTTATATCCTCTTTATATATCTGTTTATTTATTATCACCATAAAAGAAATACAATTAATTCCCTAAATTAAAATGGTAGCTCATTTATTTCACATGTAGTCTTAGGAATATTTTAAAGGAAATTTGAGCTATGCAAAATTTTTGTTTCTATTTTGCAATTGTCTCAAAAGATTTAATATTAAAAAATGTTTTTTATTTCCCATTCAAATATTTAAGCAATGAAACCAGTGCACAAATAGTGAATTGTTTTTATTACGATTTACTTTTTATATGGGTGTTGTAAACTAGAAAGGGTTACTGAATGAAGAATAGCCAAAACAGAGGTTGGAAATGAAATGGTAATCTTTATAACAGCAACAAAATACAATACTCGCCAGCAGAGTGAAGTAGGTAAACCACTACTATTGGTGGGCTACTTGGCATATTACAATATTTACCTGCCTCTCCATGAGGTAGGATGCGGCACAAGGCCAAATTTAATGTGGTGAAATTTGAGCCCATGTGGTTGGGCAAAAATTGCTCATAGACCCCGTATATGCGGGATCAGGTATCTGTCTACCTCCCCAGACTAGACTCGGCCCAAAGGTGGAGAGTTCAGCACGACAAGAGCTTCCTACGCTGACAGCTCACGCTGCCAACTTATTACCCCGACTTACAATAGTGTCCAATGTATTTATGAGGATTGGGACATACCCTATTAGTGTTCATAGGTACGGGGTATATAACAATGGGTGAGGGCAAAAAAGAAAAAAAAGATTGATTTGAAAGACTATTTTACAAATACAAGGTTCTCAAAGATGGCAGGAATTTAAGGGTATAAAAAATTTAGGTCTGTACGAGAATTAATTGGGCTAGTATCTTTTTATTATTTTTGTTTTTACCCCAGTAAGTTTAATGTTTATTGAAACTTTTTGTATCTTTACAAAAAAATATAATTTCTCTCCCTCTCTATGATGTTTTCTTATTTTTAGTCTAGCCTCTCAACGGTCTTCGCATATTAACACAATCTTTTGAACTGAAACCTTTTAAAGTAATGAGTATATTAGTTGTTGGAAAATGCTTAGTTTCAAATTTTCATACTTTTTGTCATACAGAATTGAAATGAGTCTGAACATACATTTTAGTAATTATCCAAACAACTTTTCTGCCTCCTGATAAACGCTTAAATGATTTTTATGGAAAATAATGAAACATTTAGTACATTGCAAGTTTGTTAGAAACAATAATCTTTATCAAACACAAAAGATGAACAAGTACCAAGTGTAACCTAGAACTTTACTCTGCAATGATATGAAATTCAAATCTCTGAGACATTTATTCAATTGTTACTTTTATTGTCAGTTTCTCGTTCCTCAAATTAAGGTTATTATTCACCCAAATTTTGACTTCTTTTCTCTCGTAATCAGACTGGGATTTAAGGATTCCTGAAAATGAAAATGTATTGAGAGTGTGCTGATCTCATGTTTCCTGACAGGTTTATGCATAATATCACTGATCTTTGCAAAAGGAATAGTGACACAATGTGATGTGCGAGCTGGGGGGGGGGGGATGATGTAATAGGGATATGCTCGGAGTGGGCTAATTTCAAGTCCAGCAGTCATTAGTAACATTAATACAGAAAGAAAAAAAATAAAAATTACAGTTTTCTTCTTTCAAGCTGACCAGAAGATGCCAGCCTAACAGGCATTAACGATTTATTATTAAAACACCCCCATGCACACAGATTTCTTTTATTCTGACCTGAAGAAGCCAATCTAACAAAGTCAAAACATGTAGTCAATAAAAGAGTTTTCCATTTTGTCTGATTTATCAAAAATTATCTTTGTGTAGGTTTAATATCGAAATTTTTTTTTTCATTTTTCATTCTACCCTAAATATGTTCTGAAAAATGCCTTGCTCAATTTACGCAATACTTTCCACCTGCAACCTGTCTGCTTTTAAAATCTCCACCCTTCTCCTCAACATTCCTCAAGTATTTCAATTAGCAGATGTAACTTTACATACTTTGTGTCCTGTAAGTAGCCATACCATGTCCTGTTATTAAGTTTGTGCTTAGTATTAAATTGTAGGCCTTAGCCAACAAATGACATTTTCTCCCCTCTACCAATAAACCCACCCCCACACACAAACCTGAAATGAATGTGCAACTATTATACATTTTATTGTCCCTGTCTGTGCAGTGTGTCGCATATTTCTTGTCTGACCCTAATCAACACTTTTCAGGGATCTGCGAAGAAACACTGTCTTAGCAGCAGTCGTTTCTTTTAGGTATGTGACAGATTATTTTTATTATTATCACTGTTCAAAATTTTTTTTTTTCTTTCTTTCCTGCATTTTCTGTTTTTAAACTCTTTGTTGAAAAATAGCACAGCCGGTGGAAAGAATTGTGATTTCTTGTTGTTTGAGGAAGGCATTCATGAGGAAAAAAAATCTTTCATAAGAAAGCATTCAGTTTGACATTTTTTATTGTACTTATTCTATCCCCATGTCCCTTGAATAGTGTCGCAGTTTGATGTCTAATGCATTTTTACAATTACTTTTCAATTTTTCACGTGCCTTCAGCTGCAAACCACTCTACTATCATCGTCGCCGCCACCTCCCCCACTCCCATCCTAATAACAAACACTTGTTTTGATAGTTACTCACATTTACCAGTGTTGATTTTTATTTTTATATATATATATATATATATATATACACACACTAACACTTGTTGCTACCAATTTCTGCATCTTTTTTTCTTTCTTCCTCTTCCTGATATTTTGCTGGGAAAGAAGAAAGTTCAAGAATAGGTTGTTAGTTTATTCAATTTTAGTCAAGTTGTTCTCGCTGTACTATGCTGCATGGAGTCAGTTGGCCGGAGGGGAATTGCAAAAAGGCTTTAAATTTTTTTTTTTTCCTTTTTCCTATCTGTTCTGCCTCGTTGCTGGCACAAATGTTTGCTTGGAATTGGCTTTGGGCTGTGAGAGATGCTGCTGTCAGCTAAGCATCTTGTCATCTCACTTTTCTCTCTCTCTCTCTCACTCTCTCTCACTCTTATAATTAACTTCATAATTTTTGCATTAGATAAAGAGAAGAAACGGTCACGTTCCAAATCACCATTTGGAAAACTCTTCGCTCGTAAGCGTGATGACGACGATGATGCGGGACCATCATCAGGTCTGGCAGGTAAAGAGAAATACTTTGTTGTTCATACTCCGACAGGCAGACAGAAATTTCCAACATTAAAAGAAAAAAAAAATGCTATACAAAAAAGGAAAAAAAAAATGCTGCAGGTACAACAAAGTTGTTACAATGCTGTCATTTTTTTCTTTTCATTGTTTTATTTTAAACACCTTTCCTTGAAAATAATAACAAATAAATACATAAAACTTTTTTGTGTTTCATAATTTTTTTCTGTCTTCTCTGCATAATTTTCTTTTTCCCTAAATCCCACATCAAGCACTATACCTCCTTATTTTTTTTATTTTATTTTTTTTTTTTTTTGTATCTAAATTCTGTCTTCTGTATTCCATACCCAACTTCCATGTGTTCTCACACCCTGTTTACCATCTGACCATTCATCTATCCTCTTGTCTGTGGTGTTAAATTTTCATTGTATGTCATAAAAGTAGAATCCAAATTCATTCAAAAGAAACATCATCAGGTATCAATATTTTTATCATCATTTTTACATATCAGGGGAGGCAGGGGAGAGTACAAATCTTTTCTGAGCAGACTCGGTAATCTGGAATTTAATCCCATCACAAGTAACAAAGAATTACAGCCAGAATTTGAGGTTCTCCTAACCAACTGACAGACACGTGATTTTCAACCCTTTTGGCTGCCTTTAAGATTATTTGCATTTTTGTACTTAGGCCATCAATACACCCCCCAATGACACCAGATTTTATTTTCATTTTTACAAATCTATCATCATTTGCCTTCATTAATACTCACTTTATCCAGTTGTATGCTATTCTCTCATTGAAGCTGTCATCTTTAATCAGCAAATCACTTTGAAGTTTACACAATACTTTTCTTACTTTTACATTCACTGTTGACTGTTTTCTGTTATGCTTTGCAAAACTTAAAACATCAACATTTTAAGAAGTCAAAGAGGAAAATTCTATCTTTTTTTTTTTTTTTTTCATTTTGTAATTAAAAAAAAAAAAAAAAAACCAGCTCATGTATGAGTGATTATTATGTGTGTGTGTTTGTGTTTAAAGGAATGTATCATTGTCTTTTATGTTGTATCACAAAAATGACATTTCACATTTCAGAAGCGCCAGTCTTTTAAGCAGACATGGTGACAGTCTTTAAAAAAAAATTTTATTGTTTCAATTGTCATATTTTTTCTACAATTAACGATCTGTTGAAATTCACACCAAACATATAGATCTCTATTTTTTAATTGTTCATTAAAATAAATTTAATATCTAGTTGATTTATTTTTATGATATTTACATAATTTCTTACATAAAAGTTTTAAAAAAATTGATAATTTCATATTTCCCTTTGGTTTTATGTTTTATTTAACAATTGACTTATTAAAGTTCCTTATGTGTTTAATGTATTACATGTGTTACTAGGTAATAATTGTTTGCTTGCTGAATTTCAACAGATGATTTGTTTATTTTAGCCTAAAAATTGTTTGATACATTTTAAAGTTCTTAAATATACATTTTTGTGACTTTTATCTTAATTGTTTTAAATTTTAACTGTTTTACTAATTCAATTTGAAATTCATTAAATAAAAATAAGAATCCTAAGCACTAAAAACCCGTTTTTCAGAAAATATTGTAAAACTACTTGCCATGTCTTTTGGATTGTCAGTTATCATTTCTGGAAAATTGAATTTAAACTTAAAAAAAAAAAACACACATACTTTGCTACAGTTTTTTTTTTTTTTTCCAATTGGTTTGCATATTATGAGAAACCTTTTTATCTGAAAGTAAACACTAAAATAAATTGCTTCTTTCTTTATTAAAAAATTAAATGATACCTCATGTCATTAAGTGAGCTCTAGCTTAGGATTGTAGTTGATTATCATGTCATTGCTTGACCCATGTAGATGTTTATATGCAGGTAAATGATTTTGCTGAGTTAATAATACCCAAAACATATTTTGAAGTGGACACTTGCAAATCTGTTCATTGTAAGATTATTTTATAAATGAACTTTTTTTTTTTTTTTAATTTTGGCTTCTCTCAGTCAGTTTCAATAATTATATATTTGATTTGGACCCCCTCCCCCGAAATGCACAAACCAAAAGACAATTAGCATTCTTATGATTAAAGAGCAAAATTGATGCCTACCAATTTCCTTTGGATATTGAGTTTAGCATCAACTTTTGAATGATATTCTTTTCTGATAGTTTTAAATGTTTTGCCATAATATTAGCCCCACTCTATCGAGAGAATTCTTTATTTTATTATGTCATTGTCAGTTCATTTTCAGTTAACTTGTGTCAACATTATATAAATAAGCTTATAATTTTGTCACCTTTGAATCTTATCTGCTAACTATTCTATTGATGCCATGATCTCTTGGATACAGTGGGCTAAGTTTTAATTCTTTTTCTTTCAGTCAATTCTTTTTTTTTTTTTCTCTCTCTCTGCTGTATTGTTGCACGCTAATAGGATCTTGCTTTTGGTTTGCATCTTTTCTTTTCTTTTTACTTCTTTCAGAACCAATGCCTGGTACGGCTGAGGCTGAACATGCAGAGGGAACATTGATCAGGAAACATGAATGGGAGACACAAACTAAAAAGGCCTCCAATAGGTACATTTGTAACAGTCTTATCTCTCACATCCCTCTCCTTATATGTCTTATCTCTCCCATCCCTCTCCTTATATGTCTTATCTCTCCCATCCCTCTCCTTATATGTCTTATCTCTCCCATCCCTCTCCTTATATGTCTTATCTCTCCCATCCCTCTCCTTATATGTCTTATCTCTCCCATCCCTCTCCTTATATGTCTTATCTCTCCCATCCCTCTCCTTATATGTCTTATCTCTCCCATCCCTCTCCTTATATGTCTTATCTCTCCCATCCCTCTCCTTATATGTCTTATCTCTCCCATCCCTCTCCTTATATGTCTTATCTCTCCCATCCCTCTCCTTATATGTCTTATCTCTCCCATCCCTCTCCTTATATGTCTTATCTCCCATCCCTCTCCTTATATGTCTTATCTCTCCCATCCCTCTCCTTATATGTCTTATCTCTCCCATCCCTCTCCTTATATGTCTCTCTCCCATCCCTCTCCTTATATGTCTTATCTCTCCCATCCCTCTCCTTATATGTCTTATCTCTCCCATCCCTCTCCTTATATGTCTTATCTCTCCCATCCCTCTCCTTATATGTCTTATCTCTCCCATCCCTCTCCTTATATGTCTTTATCTCTCCCATCCCCTCTCCTTATATGTCTTATCTCTCCCATCCCTCTCCTTATATGTCTTATCTCTCTTCCTCGCTGTCTGTCTCCTTCTCCATCTCTCTCCTCCTCTCTCTCTCTCTCTCTCTCTCTCTCTCTCTCTCTCATCTCTCCTCCATCTCTCTCTCTCTCTCTCTCTGTGGGTCATCTCTCCATCCATCTCTCTCTCTCTCTGTGGGTCATCTCTCCTCCATCTCTCTCTCTCTCTCTCTCTCTGTGGGTCATCTCTCCTCCATCTCTCTCTCTCTCTCTCTCTGTGGGTCATCTCTCCTCCATCTCTCTCTCTCTCTCTCTCTGTGGGTCATCTCTCCTCCATCTCTCTCTCTCTCTCTCTCTGTGGGTCATCTCTCCTCTCTCTGTGGGTCATCTCTCTCTCTCTCTCTCTCTCTCTGTGGGTCATCTCTCCATCTCATCTCTCTCTCTCTCTCTCCATCTCTCTCTCTCTCTCTCTCTGGGTCATCTCTCCTCCATCTCTCTGTCTCTCATCCCCACCACCCTGTTTGGATAAGCATTAGCATATCATACTTTATCCCTGTATATATGATTCAGGAATTTTCCTAAGGTTAGTGGGATTTTATGTCTTAAAATAATATGAACCACATTTTTACCACTTTGAAGAAATTCATTGCTTTGTTTTGTTTTTTTTTTTTGCTTTTTTTTTTTTTTTTTTTTTTTTTTTTTTTTTTTTTTCTTTTTTCTTTTTTTTTTTTTTTTTTTTTTCTTTTTTTTTTTTTTTTTTTCTTTTTTTTTTTTTTTTTTTTTTTTTCTTTTTCTTTTTTTTTTTTTTTTTTTTTTTTTTTACTTTTCTTTTTTTTTACTTTTCTTTTTTTTTTTACTTTTTTTTTTTTTTTTTTTTTTTTTTTTTTTTTTTTTTTCATTTTCTTTTTTTTTTTTTCTTTTTTTTTTTCTTTTACTTTTCTTTTTTTTTCTTTTACTTTTCTTTTTTTCTTTACTTTTCTTTTTTTCTTTACTTTTCTTTTTTTCTTTACTTTTCTTTTTTTCTTTACTTTTCTTTTTCTTTTTTTTCTTTTTTCTTTACTTTTCTTTTTTTTTTTTTTTTTTTTTTTTTTTCTTTTTTTCTTTTCTTTTTGTTGTTTTTCTTTCCCTGCCCTCTCTAGTTTTGGATTACATGTTCCTCCTTTTTCAACTTTTCTTTCTAAATTTAACTTAAAGTTCTTATGTTGTTACCTCTTATATAATTTTTCATTTCCCATGGGATTTTTTAAAAAAAAAATTACAAACTAAAACCTTATTCTATTTTATTTAATTTCATTACAGGTCTTGGGAGAAAGCTTATATTATCCTTCAAAACTCCGAACTTTCCTGCTACAAGGATTTGAAACATGCAAAATCTGTAAGTTCTAATCAAATCATACTTGGTTTTCCAGCTTTTAAAACAGCCTAAATGATAAGTGAAGATTTGCTGGAAATTTTCATCTATTTTGATTTTTGCCATGACTGGGCGACGAGAGAGTCACCAAGTTTTCAAAAGTTTTCAAATATACCACATTTTAGTACTTGTACTTCATACCACTCCCCCACAATCCCCAACTGACTAGTGTATTTCAGCATGAAAACCTGACTAATCATTACAAATTCATCACAGACTGAGAAGTACCAAATTCATAGTAACGATTTAGAATCTAATAATTAGAAAAGAAGTTAACTCCTGTCATTGGCCTTTGATTTAATAAATAAAAATACTGTACTTCCTTCTAAAGTCAACTTCAACCCTATACTTCTAATGTCTACACCTAAAATCTGAAATTTTATTTACATTTTCAAATGTGAAAAATGTAAATTTCTGTGCTCATTTTGATATGCTACAATTGACTTTTTTTGAATGCACAAAATTTGATTCAGTTTGTATTTTGATTTCTTTTTGTACAAAGAATTGATATGTTTCTTGTGATTTCATTGTTACTTTGTGTTTGTCTATGCAGGATCCCAACACTCGTCTCCATCATGAGCCTCCCATCAATTTGACCGGTGCTACCTGTGACCGAGCACATGATTACACCAAACGTCCCCATGTGTTCCGTCTTAGAATTGCTACAGGCGCCGAATATTTGTTTCAGTGCAAAGATGATGTAAGTCAAATATGTTTTTATATTTCTTAAATTTTTTTCTTTTTCTGCTTTTTGTGTAAAGAAAATTTAGATAACATTCACTTTGAAGGTTTTACATCTCATTGTGTTTAGTCAATTGTTTATATATAACAAATCCCACAATATGGAAGAGATACGGTAAGTGTGAAAATATATATGTATAGCTGGCCACTCATATTCGAGGATACCATCTACTAGGGCGGCTAGCCAATCCCTATTTCAGATGCTTGCTCAGGTGCATTTATGTTTATTCAACACCCACAGAGCCCACCTGTGGTTTATACTGCAACTATGCTGAGAAGACCTTAGTTACAGTTTCTGAGAAAGAGCATGTTATCTAGTGTGGTCAACAATTTCAACAAGTCCAGCATGCTCAAGCCCTCAACCACAATGACTTGTGACACTGTGCTTGCACAGCTGTTGACAGCCCTCAAGGGTTCTGTCTACCCAAGTTCACTCACAAGGCTTGGGTCAACCTGTGGCATGGATTTCAAGCACTTTCGAAAGTTGCCACATGCTGGGATTAAAATTCTGATAATATGAGGAAGTCTCCTTCCTGACAAATTTGATGATATATTTGAATACACACATTAAAAAATGATTTTACCAGATGAATTTTATCACTCATTTGCCCCTAGCTCTCAATTTGTAGGAAATATATTACCTGGAAAGAATATTATATATGACTACAATAAAACAATGGGATTGTCCATCCCATTACTTTGTGGGGCCAAATTCCCTCCACATATCTGGATTGAAAGCCAGAGAGTTGGGCAAGTAGACCTGATGGAGCCCATCCCTCTCCAATTCAAACCACAGCCAATGTCCTCCAACTTGATTTGGTCACGGCTGTTGATTCCGTTGGAGAAGCCCTTGGAGTTGCATGTCTGTTGATGTTAACCTAGGAAGCCCTCTGCCCCTAGATTGCTGTTGTCATGACAAGTTTTATTTGCCCTTTTACAGGTCATGTTTTTAACTTATTTGTGTGTCTAGCCACCCTCCTCATCAGAAAAGCCTAGTGGTGTTACCAGTTTAGTCAGCAATAATCTGACTAGGCAGCAGCTTACATGGTACTCATAGAGAGACCTGACATATCAGGGTTACAGCCAAATCATGTTGAAACACAGGTTCTCGTAAGATCACTGAAGTTAAGCAAAATTGAGCCTGGTCAGTGCCAAAATGGCTGACCGCTTGGGAATAGCAAGTGCTGTAAGCTTGGATGTGTGGGTGATGAAATGATTAACAGCTTGAAATTGGAGAGCTAAGTTCCAATTCCAGTCAAGTTTGTAATATTTGCTTGCAAACCCCTCTTCTTCTTACTATGGTTTAATTACTGGAACTTGTATTAGTAAATAACTATCTCAAGAAATTCTTATAATTGAAAAATATTTGTTGGCTGCAAAAGATTGATAGATTGTAGAAAACAATCTGATCACGTGGACATCTCAATAAAATCATGCTTATAAATTATGTCTTCATTCCAATGAATGAAGATAACATAATCAAGAAATATGATGTCACTTGGAGTTGACATAGCCTTACTGAAATCTGTAGTAAGCAAATAAGCTAGCTCTGTACTAGATTTCTCTATTTACCAACCTCTCTACAAGGCAAGATATGGCACAAAGCCAGTTTTTAATGTGGGTTGTTCCGAGCCCATAGGCTTAGGTAAAAATTGCCCGTAGACCCCTGTATACATGGGGTTGGGTTTGTCTACCTACCCAAATGACACTCTGCTCTTTGGCATAGCTTTGTCTGGTCCCCTCTCTGCCCAGAGTCAGAGAGTTTGACAAAAGAGAAAGCCTCCTCCTGTACTAAATCTCTCCTCTGATGATTCTCAGCATCTCTGTGTGTGTGTGTATATATATATATATATATATATATGGATGAGTCTAAGTCCTATCCTGGAGAGGTGTGTTCATTTCCACAGCATAAATAAGTTTTTAATGCTACAAGATATGAGTATAAAAATGTGGATGCAATTAATGAATCTGCTAAGTTGTGTGTCCAACTGACTTCACAAAATCTGACCAAACATCAATATTCTTGAAGGAAAGTTTCTTGGTTATGCTGAGAACTTTCAGTTTTCTTCTGATATTCTCAGACATGCATAACTGCTACACTATAAACTTGCAAGTTACTGAGTGTCCTGAGTTTTTTGAGATGTACAGTATAATTATTCCATAATCCTTTTGTCATCTCTTTGCTCTCTCTCTCTTTCTCCCCCCCTCCTCCCCCTCCTCCTCTTAAAGGGTTATTGTGATATTTTGAAATTTTCTTTCAGGCTGAGTTGGAGTCTTGGATTCAGAAGATGAGTGCAGCAACTGGAGGGGAAGTTAGCAGCAGTACTGGCCCAACAAGATCACAGACGCTACCTGCAAAGACAGAGACTGAACCAAAACGAGATGAACACAAGCGAAGGAGTTTTTTTACATTGAAAAAGAAATAAAATGTTAACAGGGGGAACGGGGCGGGGAGGAAAATCATTGCATACACATGCGTGCACACACACACACACACACACAAAGAGCAAATAAAAAAAAAAAAAAGACTGTTTGTTGAAGTCCTAACGCAGAATGCTTTGGGTGGAATCTCTTAGGTCAAGGTTGAGTTGTTGCTGCTACTGCTGCTGAGGTAGTAATTATTGTTTTGTTTTTTTTTTTAGTTTTTTTTTATTCTTTTAAATAATAACAACAATAATAATAATAACGTTTCCTGGAATCCACCAGCCTAACCTCTCTTTCTCTCTCTTATCCGCCTGCCTTTTTCTCTTCCTAAAAGTTCTTTTTTAATACACACTATCTTGGACCACAACACCTAAATCTTTAGCCTTTCGTTTCACTATCTGAGAAAGAGAAAGAGACCTGTTAATTTGAAAATAGCTTAAGAAGAACGAAACCGAATAAAAACTGTACATTCATTTATTTATGTATGCTTATAATTGTATGTGCACACATACAATTTATTTACCCAACTCCATTTTTATAAAAGTAAAAAGAAAATTTTTTTTTTTTTTTTACTGTGCCCTAAACAAAAAGATGGAAAAACAAAATAGCCTTTAAAAAAAAAAAAAAAATCCCCCCCTCCTCTCTAATCTGTTTCTTCATGTTGTGTGTTAGTCAGATTTTTTCGTGTCTTTGGCTATGCTTATATTCTGCTTTACAAAAGACGAGCAAACATTCCGTACTGAAAGAAAGAAAGAAAGAAAAAAAAAAAAAAATCCAAAAAGATGATAATTTTGTTAGGGCGGAGATAAGAGCTGATAAATTGAAAACTCATCTAAAAAGAAAATTGAAGGAAAAAAAAAAAAAAAAAAAAAAAAAAAAATGCACTGCCATCTGTCAACTTTTTTTTTTTTTTTTTTTTTTTTTAAAAGGAATTTAGCAGTCTCTTTCATTTTGTCAACCCCTCTATGTACGTAGATGTGTGTATGCATGTCAATAACTGTGTACATAGACTTATGTATGTATGTATGTATGTATGTATATATATATATATATATATATATATATATATATATACATGCATACATATACACGCACAGCTTATGGTTTTTATTTTTCCAAACTTACATTTATTTTTTTTATAGAACTGTTGGGTTCCAGGGAATCAAAAAGAGAAAGGAAAAAAAAAAGGAGGGGGGAAAGAAAAAGATGACTACCCCCAACCCAAATTCCCAAACGTTTTAAGCCAGATATTGTTGAATTTTAGCTAGATGTAATAACAGGTTCCTATACAAGTGGCAGACTACTTCTGCTGCAAAAGAGATCCAAATAAAGATTTCAAAATAGACGTTTTTTTTTTTATTTATTTTTAAAAAATTTTTTTTATTTGTTTGTTCGTTTGTTTGTTTTTTGCTAGATTTATGTTTGTTGGTTATGGTCTAGTTTTTCAGCAGCAGTTATGATTTTGCCAATCAACCAAAAAAAAAAAAAGAAAGGAAAGGAATTGTCGCATTCCATCTATGCAAAAAAACATAAAAGACTTGACCAAACATTTTGGATTCTTGTGAAATCTATTAATGAACTTTAAGAGAAAAAGAAAAGTGAAAAGAAAACATGTTAGGAAAAAACAAAAAAACAAAAAACAAATAAAACTGACATTGATATGCTAAGCATTATAAAAGGGTAATTTTAAGCTCGGCAAATATTTTACTTTGTAAAGTGTTTTCGCTCTTTTTACCTTTTCAAGAAAACAAAATTGAAATACCTATTGGAATAAAAGAAAGAAAAAAAAAAAGGACAAGGAAAGAAGGCGAAAATGAATTTTAAAAATTTAATCATTATTTTAAACAAAAATAATTTTACACCTAAAGAAATTCATGTATTCTTGCTTCTTGACTGACTCTGCAAAAGGAGTGAAAGAAATACAAACACATACGTGTACACAACCATATATGCGCACGCATAATACATGCACACAAACACAAGTAAATGACTGGTCATGTTGATATAGTTGGGAAGGGGTTACATTCTGATTTCAATGTGTGATTCAAAATAATACATAAAATGCCCAGGGTCTGGTGTGTAATTATATGAGAGAAACATGTAACAAGTATCCAAGGTCAAAATTTGAATGCCTGCTTGTATGGTTCTGCAAAATGCTGTGTATGTCTGGAATTATCCGAGAGTCTGTGATTGCTTTTTTTTTTTTTTTTTTTTAAATTTGTTTTGCCTGCCTTTTTTCATTTCAACCTTGTCAGTCTCTATTTGCAGACATCTGTTAGCGTGCATTTACTGTTCAGTCAAGTCAGTTCGATTTGGTATTGGGAGGGAGGGCTGAAGATAAACGAAATCTGTGTTGTAATGATGCTGTTTTGTTTGTTTGTTTTTTTTTTTTGTTTTAAGTACATTTTTCTGCCTTCAATACAGGCTTTCTTTTCTTTTTGAGATATATATATATATATATATATATATATATATATATATATATATATATATATATATGATTGATTTTCATGCGTCTACAAAGTGTTCGCAAATTGTAACAGTCCATCATAAAAGAAAGCAAATAAAAATAAGACCCCTCCCAAAAAAAAAAATCTGAGTTTGAAATCAATAAATCTGGCTTGATCCCACATGAACTGTCAATTTCATTATCGTCTGCTGCTGCCATGACTTTTGACTGTGACTAGTGGTTTTTTTTAAACAAATGTTAACGTTTGTGCTCAATGATTGAACCACTAACATGTTTTGTTTGTTTTTCTTTTTCTCTTTCTTCAATAGTTACCCTTTCTCAACACGTGTTAGACACAGCTGGCAGACTTTGTGCTTTACGTTTTGGAAAGAGGTGAGGAAAAGAAAAATCCCTTAAGACAATTTGAGGATTTTTGTTCTTAATCAGGCTTTTATTTTTTTAGCCCTTTTTTTTTTTTTTTTTTTTTTTTTTTGTATGTGTGGGTATATAGACTAAATTCTTTGAAAATGGCTTTGTGAATCTGGATTATTCAGTGTTTAATTAAAAAAAAAAAAAAAGAAAAAGAAAAGCCAAGGCAGTCAGGTGAATCTCTTTGCTTTTATTATATCCTGGTACTGACAAATTTCATTCATGACAAGTGGACTAAGACACTGAAATGTAAATGTAAAAAAAATTCTAAAATCATTTATCTTTGAAGATGTTTATAATGTTTGATTAATTGTTCAAAATGAACAAAATCTCTCTTTTCTAAATGAAAGAAAAGCAGTGTTTCAGGTGAAGGAGATAAAAAGCAAGATTTTAATTGACCAGGATGGTCCAGATTCACAATGACAAAAAGAAAATAAAAATACCTACAGCAAAGAGGAAAAAAAAAATAAAAATTGATACTTTCTATCTTTCTCTCCCTATTCTCTCTCCCTCTATCTTCTTGTATTTTTTCTGTACTCTCTCTGTATGTATGTGTGTGTGTATATATATATATATATATATATATATATATATATATATATATATATATATATATTTCTTGACCTTTTCTTTTTTATTGTCTTTTCTTTTCTGCTCTCTCTCCCCTCCATTTCTCATCCTGCTGATGAGATGATGTAATCAGGAAATGAAACGTGATTCTCTATTTTTTTTTCTCTGACTTCTTTAATTACATCATCTCATCACGGGAGCCTCTCAGAGAAAGATCTTTTTAAAAACATGGGACAAAAACTGTCACAACTGTTTAGGCAGATCTTCACTCAATCATGAATATCTGCCTAAAAGGACTTTTTTTTTCTTTTTTAAATCAAGCCTAAAATTGTGTGTGTGTGTATATTTTGTTTTTGTTTTCTTCTATGTCTATTGAACCAAGATAAAATCTAGGGATTTTCTTTCATCTCTTTCCACTTTTTGCCCCTTAAATCAGAGGAGGAATTACCATATTTTCACTTTTGCAATCTCTTGGCTATGCCAGATTCCTTCTTAGTTGAAGACACTATTTGTTGGCCGCTCAATAACATCGTCTTTTGTATTGAGGAAGAAACGAAGAGACACAACAAAACTTGTTAGTAATTTAATAAAAAAAAAAAAATAGTATTTTACAAGCATATGAATCAGATGCCTTTCTTTTCTTATCTTTTTTTCTCTCCCCTCCCCTCCTTTGGTGGAACTGGTTCTTTCTGGGTTAGGACTTACCAACAAAACTTTTTTCACTCCCTCTGCTAAGGAACCGATTGAGTGATCGGTTAGTAGTTTTAAAACAATTAAAATCCAAAATATTTTTTTTTTTTTTTTAATTCTGGGAACTACTCAGTATTTGATGTCAGAAAAAAAAAAAAAAAGAAAAAAAATCTAAAACCAGGCTCTTATTGATATTGGTTTTAATGTTGCCCTGTCAGAGTTGATAGGCTTTTTGTACAGAAGTAGCAATTGCTCTTTCTCTCCTTCCATGCTGCTCAAGAACATTCTTCGATTATTTCTTTCACTGTAATTCTGCTATTTGCTTAAATAATCAGTGAGAGTGGAACAGTATGAAATCCTAAAGAAATTAATTATGATAATAATATGCTACAGACATTTTTTTTCTTTTAAATTCCTTTCATTTTTTTTCTCCACATATTATTTTTTCTTTTTTTTTTTTTTTTTTTTTTTTTTTTTTTTTTGAAAAAGAAATAATTTTTTGTATTTGCTTACAAGATAAATAAAATGACTTCTCAATGTTATCTTACGTGTTGTACATTTTAATGTCATAATCTGATGGTCATTATTACTGTCATCGACACATTTAAGACTTTCGTTTAATTTCTCTCTTAGCTTTTAGTTAGAAACTTTGGTAAACTTGGACAAATATACACAAAAGAGAAAAGTTTCAAAACGATGGCTTTTCTCTTGACACCACTATTATTTAAACTACATTCATTCTTTAGCAATGTTTTTAAAAAGTGAGGATTAAAATTGTAATAAAGTTTAAATGTGATCAAAGTGAATTTATAGCATCCTGCTACTATTTTTCTATCAATATCAAATTTTATGCAAAAAGTGGAT